TAAGCATACCTAGAGACGAGCGTAACACTAACTTCAATCAATTCACGGTTTCTCCCAACCTCGAACATTGCCTTCGGTGAGCACTGCTTCATACCATGAAAAAAAAGCTTATTTTGATTTGTAACTAACTGGCATCATGCAACACAGTGAAAACATACTATTGTAAATACAATTCTAAAGGAACAGATCAAATAAATAAAATAAAGATGTAGACAACGACAGCTTTAATGTCAATAACAAACATTCAAGATTAACGTCAACAAGAGAAGCTACGAGTCACAGTAAGTAGAGAAAAGCGAATAACTCACTACTACACCTGAAGTTTGTGCTGATAATGATGTTATTCAGAAGAAATAGAATGAAAGCACCACAATCAATACATTCAGCTCAGAGAGAGCGATACCCCGCCACAAATCTTCCTCAACAGTGTATGAATATCAGATAAGTTAATTCGTGAATAGTAGTACTAGTAGTAGTGTAGTGCCTCCACATAAACTTGAGTTCGCCCATATTGAATTTGATTAAGCCTTTTCGATTAACTAATGTAACCAAGCTATTTGTATAGCAACAACCCATATGTACCGTTGGTATTTTTTATTGTCTGGTTTTTACAGAGCTTGTACAACTGAGCATTGCTTACGCCTATGCGCATATTCATCCTATTCGCTTTAACGTTAATCTCTTAAATACTTCGATGACTCCAGATATCTTCCTATGTATATATACAAAAATTTTAATCTTATTAATTCATTCGCTCGCTAGGGTGCCTTCCCGTTCTGCTATGCCTATTTGTGGTGTGTCAAAATAAACGACTTATTCAACACTTCGAGTTCACTTTCTGATTTATAAATCATCAGACGCCGCTAATTAGCAACGATTGTCTGGACGAGCTAATTACGAAGATTAAGAACAAGAACGTCGACATTGGCCACCACAAAAGTAGTAGTAGTGTGGTGCTGTGGTGCGGACTACTTATAAGTAGTATATAACGTGAGTGTCAACGTAAAGTCTGGTAGCATAATTTGGGGGGAAGATCAAGAAAGGAAGAGTTAGAACACAATGGAATTTGTATGAAACCCATGAATAGTGACAATGGATTGATGTTTGGCAGCAGGAACAGTCCAGTTCCATAGGATGAACTGATCTTTTGCAAATGAACGATTTACGATATGGTTTTCCGATTTTACTGACTAACTCTGTAATTTTCGTTAAATACAGTTCGGTTGCATCCACCTGTGTTCTCATTCACTACAGTAGTAGTAGTAATTAAAGCTACAACAAACGACAATGTCTACATATTCGCTTTCCAGAGAACTATTATCCTACTTACAATTCACAGCACTGCTTTAGTACATCCTTCATTCAAACCAAATATCAAGTAAACAATCCCTGTAGAAAATATTCATCTCAATCTCGAACTAACCAATCTCAAGAAATAAACACTCGAGAAGGAAAAGCTTTCACATCCTGTAGCATAACAATGGCTTATATCACAAAGCTATAACCACATTTAAATAGGCAACATTTGTTTATCAATATTCAGGCATAACAATTCTACAAAAAGAGTATACTGACAATTCATTGAATGAAAAAAAAACCTATCAGAGAGTACAATATTGGAAACTCGAAGTGGAACTAGTAGTCAACGACCTTAATCACACTTGTAACAATGATTTACAATGCCATATTGATAATGACAGACAAATACAACACAGAACTTCTTACGTATATGTACATCAGTTCAGGTTGTCATATCGCATTAGCACACAGACGCAACTGTCAGTTCAAATCCCATAGTATTAACGATAGTAGAAGTATTAGCAGTGCTAGAGAAGATTAGGGTATAAATCAGTGAGATAAAGTTAGAAAGAGAAAGATGGAGATGATGAGGAATTCAAACGATTTCGAGTCATAACGATTACTATCATCTCGCGGACCCCAACCAGGTAGGTAGTCGACAACTACGACCAACATGACTCACTACACTTACCAATGACATCATGAAGTGGTGCCATGTTTTGGTTTGACAGCCACTAGCTTCCTTCCAACTTACCACAAATACACCAAAAAACATTGCTCTCCAAGACGGTCGGTGGTTGATTGAGCATTCGTAACACATATCCCAACCACCCCAAATGACACATATTGATGATAATCATGATGTAAACATCACGTCACAATGCCAAAATAATATAACCTATGGCAAACAATACACCTCGTTCATCGCCCCTTGAATATGTCGCTCAAAAAATTGTCGGTCAGTCAGTCAGATGCAACGTAGAACTTCGTACATAAGTACATCAGTTCATGTTGCCATACCACATTAGCACAGAGATATAATTGTCAATTCAAATCCAATAGTAGAAGAGGTAGTAAAGGTATTAGAAGTAATCGGAGAGGTTAGGATTAGAAGATATTATTCAAGAAGTATGATTCAGTGAGAAAAGATTAGAAAGACAAAACTAGAGGTGTTGAAGAATACAGAAGATTAGGATTTGGGAGAACACAAAGAATAAATGACTTCATGGATTTCTGACATGATTTGGTTTGGCCGCCCCTAACTTTCTTCCAACCTACTCCTACACTACAAAACAAAGCTAGTCGAGGCAGTCGGTGGTTAGGCATACGTAACACATGTCCCAACCATCTCAACTGATGAAGTTTCACTACTTCATCTATTGATCTGCCATTCTTACCTAGCACCCGATTCCTAATAACAGCATTGCTTACTCGGGTGTCACACGATATACAAGCAATGCTTCGAAGACATCGATGATCGAAAACCAATAACCTACAAATATCTTCTACTCTCATTCGCCATGTTTCACAGCCACAAAGTAAAACGGAGCCAACTACTGCACAGTACACTCATTCTTTAGTCACCAAACGGTTATCACGCCTAGCTCAAAAAAAATTGAAATCCATGCGAAAATTCATTTATTCAATAATAATAAGAATAATAATAACAAGAAGAATGAATATACACGAAAACAATAGGGTTCATAAAATAAATATTTCATTATATATATATATATATATATATATATATATATATATATATATATATATATATATATATATATATATCATATATAATGAAAAGACAATGAAAATTATATTTAAAGATGTCGATCGTTTACACAATCAATCAATCAATTGAGGAGAAAAATAATAATAAGAAGAAGATGAACAAAATATGAAACAATGAAAGTTTGAAAAAAACAGAAAAAAGAAACCATAATAATCACACTGACATAGTCTCAGTGTGTGTGTGTAGGTATGTGCTAGTACTACTACTATTACTACTACTGCTACCACTAACACTGCCACTTCTAAAAGTCTTCATTCAAAACAAACAAACAAACAGAGAGATAGTAAATGAAAGAAATAAAAATTCATTACCTAGTGTCATCAAAATAGCACCAATAGAATAAACTAATGTGAATTGGATAGTGCAAACTGGTGCACTTGAACAGTACAGAACAAAACAGAATTGAACTGAACTGAAAACGAAAAAGATAAAAAGTAAAAAAAAAACAACTCAAAAAAAGCCCGAAACCATTGAAATGCATAAATCATGTCTTTATTTTCTCTGATTATAATCATTAATAATAATAATAATAATAATAATGAGAATAGTAATGATGATGACACAACTTTTAATCGCTAACACAGAGAACCGAACAAATACATATATAAATAGTAAACAGGGAGAGGAAAATGAAATTAGTAATAACAAAAACTAAACGGTTCATTCAAAAAAAAATACATATTTATATATATATATATGATGATGAATAAACGAATCCCCTCTTTTTTCTTTTCATAATACTGAAAGTGACTACTTTATTCACTGTATCAGTAGTATAAAATAAAATTATTATTAAAGAAATATATATATATATTTAATGATGAAGAGAGATAAAAGTTCACCTTCACACTGTGTACACAACACATCATTAAAATGACAACAACAACACATGATACATGACATAATCGGTTGATACAGACTACCTAGTGGAAACAGTTAGTCTATATATAGTTAATAGTACAAAAAGTAGAACAGGGACAGAAATCATCACAGTCTTTCATTGATAGTAATAATAATATATATTATATTTATTTTTCATTGTCTCCTACAATTTTGGGCATTTCACAATTAGATATATATATAAATATATATAAATATAAATTTGACAAGAATACATTCCTACTAAAATTAGTAATACTATCTATCATAATGCAAATTAAATTTGAAAACTAGGCCAACAGACAAGAAAAAAAAGGGATTTCATATATGTGTTCATCGTGCGCACCAATAATAGAGATGATGTTGTTGTCCATGATGATAGCGGCGGGGGGAGGGGGGGGTAAACAATTTACACTGAAACATTTGATGATGATGCTGATGATATCACTTGGGGGTACTTGCGCAGTACAACATGCGCGAGCTCGAGCGCGCGCGCGCACGAAAAAAAAGTTAAAGACAACAACACGAGGTAGGTGTTTTCTGCAATTTTTTTTCCAAGGGAAAGTATTTATGTATACATATATATATATATACATGGCGTACGACGATTATCGATGAATAAATTCAGTTAGTCAGCCCGGGAAAATATATAAACATCGTGTGAAAACAAAAAAAAACTAAAAACTAAATTACAAAGGATAATAAAACAGTGATGATGATTTAGCTGGCCAATAAAAAAGTTTGAATTCACAATAAGACATATATTAGAATGGAATAGAGTAGAATAGAATTACTATGATGATGATGATGATGATGTTGATTCATTGTTACTCACTCATTAAAAATGCATACAGTTTAGTAGAAATGGATGCAAGGTAGTCTCAGTCAGTCAGTCGTCAGAGAGACTTAGACATATGTACGTATTCATACACCCGAAAAAATCTATCTATAGAGTAAAATATGGCCTACAGGTATTATTTATATATATGTATATTTATATTTATATACAATTCAAAACATGAAGTGTAATTATTTGCATTGCCTAAAATTTACAATATTACACCGAAAATTGACGCATTATGGTGTGCCATGATGAACTTTCGTGTAAACTATCCATATTCAAAAGTAAGAGATAGAGATCATGATTGGATTGAATGAAATATTCACTGATATCATCAGAATCATCATCACCGACTACTGCTACTAGTAATAATAATAATAATTCGTGAGACAATATTTCAATGGTACATATATATGTAAATATGAAATGAAACCGAGAGAGAGGGGGCGGAAGTGGGAATAATCAGTGTAGTTGAAAGTTATATATATATATATATATATATATATATGTACGCATAGGTGACTGCAACACAGCAAAACGGAAGACTGATTCAATCATCAAAAAGTGGGAAATAAGAAAAGTGAAACACACACACAGACACAACAACAAAATCACACATTTTTATACAATACGTGAATTTGATGCGGTGGTGGTGCTGCTTGATTGTTTCGGTGAAAGTGTGGAACATGCGGGCATAACAGGCTGATGATGATGATGATTATTATTTATGGTCAAATTATTCATAGCAGGAGATAAATGATCAGCTGTTGTTGTGGTTGATGATGCTGTTGTAGTAGCAGCTGCAACAGGATGATGATGATGCGGATGTGTTGAATTCTTGAATGAGGAGTCTTGATTGGCAATCTTGTATCGACCTGGTTTAGGTAGTTCTAGAGAACCTGGAAAAGAAAATAACAAACAGCAATAACAATAAAAAGCGGCTACACATCAGTGACCAGTCGATGTTTATGTTCTAGAGTTAGTGTCAGTACCCAAGTCCGGCTAGAAGAGAAGAGTCAAGCATGTGTCAGTTAGCGACTCTAGCCCGTAAAAATTAAACTTGCTAAAAACAACACTAACCAGAACTAAAGAACACAAAATGAGGAATGCACCTGCAGGAATTGCGAACGGTTTTGAGCGATGTCATTTCATAGTCTTTGTTAGGATATTCATCCAATATCCTAAGAGAATTATTGGTCAAATCCTACTGGTCGATTTCTATTGGTCAAAATTATGGTCGTTTTAACTGTCAAAGTCAAATACTTCAATGTCGTCTCTTATTGGTCATCCGGATTGTCAATGTCATTTCAAATGTTACTTCCTATTGGTCGTCTGAACTGTCAATACCACAGAATTCGATGCTGTTTCCTATTCGACCAAAATGTATAAATACGCATTATCTGTAACATTTTATGACCACGACCAGGACCCGGATCCCTAGTCCACGATCCTGATTCTCTTCTGGATTCGGACCTCGTACTTTCTGAATGCTTGTAGAATACAGGTTCTACTTCATATCATGTCTTCTTATTTTTACTCAATATAGTGGTTGGGATTTGAGTAGCATGTCGTGTCACCGGATCCTCGATCCTTGCTCTCGTTTTCCGACTATGTAAACTCGTAATAGTTCAGGTGTATCAGGTTGACGTGTTTACGTGATGATGATTATTATTATCATCTCGCGGACCACAACCATCTAGTCAACACCTGCGAGTGACTTCATGGATTCGTGCCATGGTTTGGCTTGGCCGCCTCTAGCTTTCTTCCAACCTACTACTAATACACCACAAAGTATAGCTTGACGAGGCAGTCGGTGGTTAGGCATACCCAACACATGAACACAAAGGCACACAGTATGCAATCATTGATTAGCATGGATTGTTTTCTATCATATTTCTTCGGACCACTGGACCGGCATAAAAACGGTGTTAATGTCTAACTTTGATTGATCTACGGATTTTGCGCGACCTTACCCATTTGATCCGATGGTTAAGCGTTCGCGCACAATACTGAAGGTCCCGGGTTCGAATCCTGAGAGGTGCAGGAGTCGTGGATGCGTACTGCCAGTGATGAGTCCCATACACTAGGACGAAACGGCCGTCCAGTGTTTCCAGGTTTCTAATGGTGCTGGTCTAACAATGGTTGATTGATTGGTGATTTCAAATGTGTAAAAAAACACAAACCTCTGCCCGAAAATATTTCTTCTAGTCAGAAATATACTTTGATCGCGCCGTACATCTCTCAATCTCTAGACTATCATCTCCCTACCCTCTGGCGGTAACTTTTAGGCGACACTTCACTGCATACTACTTATAAATCAATTTATGAGTAGCATACACCAAACTATTACTACTAGTAGTCCCACTAAATTAATAATATAATATATGATATCAACAAATCATCGAAATTATACAACCAACCTGTATCAAATAGTACACCGCTAGGATAAAGTGTAGCACTAGGCAATTTATATTGACCTGTTGTTATAGTAGTAGAACATCCACCACCAGCAGTGGAAGCGTCAGTAGAAGAATTCAACGCCGCATTATTCATCAAATAAGCTTGTGATAAACGTCTAGCTTCCAATATCATTGATGTTAATTCACTTAACCAACGAACACGTGAATCAGGAGATTTTGGAGCTACAATATAACATAAATGTGATTGAGGCGATGATGTTGCCACATTGGATGATTCAAATGGTGAACCTAAATACCGAGTTCTTTCAGATAGACAAAACCATAATAATTGATCACCAGTTGGACGTGAACCACCGACTCCAACATCCTCCTAAAACGTTTTTAGAGAAAAACAAAACAAAACATTAAGAAAAGGTAGTACAAGGTAGTAGGTGAGAAGTTGATGAAACTTCAAAAATGTTTATCTAACATATATCTATCAGCAAGTAAGCAATCAATGTAACACGCTGACAACATTAAGCGACAATGGAAGCTTGATCAGGATGCGATTCTCTTCCTCGAAATGCAAAATGTTGCTTGAGGATTGAGCCGCATCGGCACCTCAACTAGTTAGTGAAACGGAGTGAAATAGTTGAGCGTGTTGACCGCTTCACTTATCTTGGGAGACTGATCAGTGCTGATGGCCTAGTGTCTGACGAAATTCTCAGCACGGACACAAAATCCTCGACTGGCTTCAGTCAACCTAAGTCACTTGCATAGGCAAAGAGTCTGCAAACTAAAAGACGAGTTTAATGCGTAGCACTTCGCTTCGTTTTAATTTATGGCTGTGAATCATGTCTTCGAAGCATTGCTCGAGTATCCTGGGACAAGTGAGTAAGCAATACTGTTGTTAGGAAACGGGTACTACGTCAGGATGACAAATCAATAAGTACAATAATGACACTTCATCAGCTAAGGTGGTTGGAACATGGGGGAAAATACAGATTATTTACACAGTATCATGTATACACATAGTCTTCAATTATCTATTTACATGTATATCAATCCAAAGAGGTGATAGGCTGTTTTTTATTGTCTCTGTTCTAGTTTTCATCATATTTCTTGAATGCAACATACTTTTGACTTTCTAAAACTTATATCTCCAAATTTCAGAAACTTCAAGCAGAGCATCCGCTGCACACACAACATTTCAAATATTAAAAAGAAGTTACGTAATACTATAGAGTTTTAAAAGAATAAGAGGACGAGAATAAGTGGAAGGTTGAACCAAATTACAAATACGAATGTACGAATGATTTCAACGACTCATCATAAGTCAAGAGTTGCAGGCGTCCGTACGCGACACCCGACGGTTCTGGCTTCGATCCCCACTTACGAGGTCACGGGTGCGCACAGCCACTAACCAAATAGTCACATACCAACACACGAAATAGTTGTCTAGTGCTTTCAGCTCATCATCAAACATGCATGTCAATCACAGAAAAGAAATTAACATGCAAAAGTATACTCAGTGGTCCGATGGCGTTCGCGCACAATACCGAAGGTCCTGGGTTCGAATCCTGCGGAGTGCAAGAGTCGTAAAATGCGCACTGCCACTGCTGATTTTCGTCCCATACCATGACGAAACGGTTGTCTTTCAGTGCTTCCAAAATTCTTATAATAGTGATGGTCTAACATTGATCATCAATTCATGGTTTCAAAAAAAAATTGATGTAACTAACTTAACAATCTTCATCACAACAACCCCCGTATAATGCGAATAACAAGCATACTTACCAATATGGATATTTGACTAATAGGCAAAGCATGTCGAAATCGACATTGTAATTTTGGTTTGACGTCAGTATTTTTATCATTCAATGATTCGCTTTCATGACCATCCGATGATAATGTGGTAGTAGTAGTAGTAGTCAATTCCATCGCTGCATCAGCAATAATCAATGCATGATCATAGAGAAACAAGTGTCTAGTGACAAAATGTAATTCAACACCATCTTCCAATATATCCAACAGGAGTTCTTCATCTTGACCAAGAAAATGTGAACTACTATTACTACTACTTGTACTACCACTTGTAGTAGCAGCAGTAGTAGTAGTATCTGTTGAACCAACAATACCAGTGGAATGATGGGGATGATGATGATGATGATGCTGAGGCATAGATGATTTAGCTGAACTGGCGACAAGTTTAGTAGCAACATTCAATCCACCATGTAAACGTAAATTTCCAATACCGGATAAATTTGCACCACCCGGTAAACCTATTAATTGTGGAACGGTGCCTAGTTGTGTTTGACCATCACCAGCTACTTCAGTTATTGTAGTTGCTAAACGATAGGAAGTTTTAATAGACTGAAACAAACAAAAACAAAGAAAAATATAAGATACAGAGATAATGACAAGTTTAAAACGTCAATGATAACAATCAATCAAGATTGGGTTGCATCGGCACGTGAACTAGTGATAAGGAGTGAAGTAGTCGAGCGTGTAGACCCCTTCACTTATCTTGGGAGTATCATCAGTGCTGATTGCCTAGTGTGTGACAAAATCTCAGCACGGATACAAAAGGCTCGATTGGCTTTTGCCAACCTGTGTCACTTATGGCGTAGGCGAGATATCCGTTTGCTGACTAAAGGACGAGTGTACTGTGCAGTAGTTCGCTCCGACCTACCTTATGGCTGTGAAACATGGCCGATAAGAGTAGAGGACATTCGCAGGTTACTGGTTTTCGATGGTAGGTGTCTTCGAAGCATTGCTCGTGTATCGTGGCACAACCAAGTAAGCAATCCTATAGTTAGGAAACGAGTTCTCGGTAAGGACGGCAAATCAATTGATGAAGTGGTGTAGCTTTATCAGTTGAGGTGGTTGGGACATGTGTTACGTATGTCTAACCATCGACTGCCTCGAGTAGCTATGTTTTGTGGTGTAGGAATCGGTTGGAAGAAAGTTAGGGGCGGCCAGACCAAAACATGGCAGAAATCCATGAAGTCACTGACAAGTGGACTGAGTCTTATTGGTAGATGTCGACTACCTGGTTGGGGTCCGCGAGATGAAAGTCATCAATGGTTAGAGACCTTGAACGATATGGCTCAGAATCGTTTGCAATGGAGCAGGTGCATCCACTCTTTGTGTTCTATGAAATTCTAAGCTTCTGCATTCCTCATAATCTTTCTCCTTCTAAATTTATCTTATTGAATTATACTTCTCGAATCATATCTTCGCTCCCTAATCTTCTCCATTACTACTACTAATACTTCTATTATTGCTATCACTCTTCGATTTGAACTGACAGTTGCTTCTCTGTGCTGATGTGGTATGGCAACCTGAATTGATGTACTTACGTACGAAGTTCTGCGTTGTATCTGTCTCTCTATCTGAAGTCAACAGCACAAGCTACGAGTCATACATGTGGAGCAATTTGAATACTTCACTTCTATTATCTGAAGTTTAAACTGCTGATGACGCTGTTTTTCAGAGCTAAAAACAATGAAAGCTCCACAACTGAAACTTCACCAAGGACATCCAACTTCTCTCCATCATCTCGAGATCTTACCCACAATATATATATATATATATATATATATATATATATATATATATACTTTACAATTATCACTCTGTCAAGACTAGTTGGTTGAGTTGTAGTCAAAAGGTAATGCACAAACGTCTAGCTCAAATGGCATCTCTAATATTTGAAGAAGATACGGTATTAATTACACAATATGTTCATGTAATGCTGAAATATCCAGTTGTAATAGAAGCAAGTTATTCGTCATCTTCTAGCATATCTCATCCGATCTTCAATATAGTTTGATAGTGCCGTGCACTTCAATATCCAGGCACTTCTCTCTCTCTCACTCGCCCTCTGGCTACAAGTCCTTCTTTAGACAACAGATTATCATGTATAAACTTCCTTTAACCAAATTTTCCTCTTATATCGTATTTTCCAGACATTAATCCAGACAGCCAACTATGCTGTTAGTACTCCAAAATTTACACTGGAAAATTTCATCTCATTGACTTTTTGTTAAATAATATGTGTAAGACATGCATACAACATAATTCTGAATTCTAGTGAAATAAAAAATCGGCATATGATAAAACTTTGTAGTTATTGTGTACAGATAATCTAGCCCTACTAACATGAGTACAAATTAAAAAAAAAATGGATAAGGCTGAGATTGGAAAGACTTGTGGGGAAAAATTATCAAAATCAAAATTTTGATTGAAATGTGAAAATTAGAAAGAAATTCAGCAAGGATATCTTGTTTTTATTGTTATTATAATTACTTGTATACTCTTCATATATCTTGGGACAGCGAATAAGCAGAGTTGAAGTTAGGAAACTAGTAGTACTAAATGAGGATGGCAGATCAATAGATGAAGTGCTGAAACTTCATCAGTTCAGATGGTTGGGACATGTGTTACGAATGCCCACAACCAGCGACTGCCGCAACGAGCTATTTTTTGTCGTGTAGGAGTAGGTTGGAAGAAAGCTAGGGGTGGCCAAACCAAAACATGGCAGAAGTCGATCAAGTTGTGGTGTGTGCTACTTATACGAACGATATAAGTAGTATAAGAATGGACGTGAAAGAAGAAGTCTCACGGTCAGAAGAGGAAAACGGAAAGCAAATAGAGCAAAAACAAGAAATAAATAGAGCATCGACAGGAAGTAAAGGAAGCAACAACAACAGGAATGGAAGAAGAAGGCTGGAGCGTTGGAAGTCAGGACTCAAAGATGGTGTGCAAATAGAGTGTTCAATGTGATGTTTTCGTTTTTAATTGACTAAGAGTGTAAATTTGCCAAATACAATCAATAGAGCCTGCCTCAGTCTTCTCAAAGTTACTGACAGCTGAACTGAACCATGTTGGCAGATGTAGGCTAACTGGTTGGGGTCCGGAAGATGGTTAGACACCTTGAACGACATGGCTCAAAATCGTTTGCACGGGTGAATTTATTCATTGTGTTCTCTCGAATTCTAACCTTCGACCGAACGGTTACAAGTTACAAATATGGTTTGTTAGAAAGTCAAGAGAATTTACAGAAATTCATAGGTAATCGAAAATAGCCAAACATTCCAGCAACCGATAGTAACAAAAATAACACGCATACTTAAATCCTTACTTTTTCATGTTGAACTTCATTTTCACCAGTGTCACTATGCATATTCTTATTGTTGTCATGCTGCTGTAGTAGTAGTAGATCCGATCGACATTGGTTACCATCAAGCATGATGAACTGATCACTAACACCATTAGTATTATTATTAGTATTCTCAACACTACCATTCTCTATCTCTTTCATCGTTTTCGTATCGATTAATTCAGGTACATTTGGTCGAAGTGGAGGTTGTATTTCATTCATTGGTGGAGGTAGCTCTACATCGACACTTTCTTCAGATACATTGTCCAGCAGTAAACCGCCTAGTTCAAGTGGCTTTTGTTGTTGTTGCTGATCACTAACAGTGGATGTGGCACCTGGATAAGGTGTATTAAGAACCTGAAAATGAAGAACAAATAGACGTTACTCATTTCATATATATAACAGAAAAACGACGACATAAAAAGATATACTTATTAACAGTACTACTTATAAGTAGTTAGAATTTTGTTGCAAAAGTTGTTTTATTCCACGCAACTGCTACCATGATCGAGCTCGCCTATCATGACTGACTATCCAAGGTCTGAGGGCGAAATACTACTGCCAAATGTAGAGGAGTGTGACAGCACCAGTAAGGTGTTTCCCTCCAACAACCAGCGTCTTCAACGATGCTACCTTCTCACAAGGAAGGGGTTAGAAAAGGTCAATCCTAAAAGGGTCACACCTCACCTTACCTCACCCATTTCTGTCTCTAACGGTAAGGCCACTTAAAGAGCGGAGCTAACACTATAAACAACCCAAAAAACGACTGACGTGCCTGGTCTCAAGCAACAGTCCCTAGGACTCAGTAGTCACGCTCCCAGGTCTCTAAGACCAACACACACCAAACTAACTTCCTTTTCAGGCTCCACAAAACAACACACTTCTACAGTGTGGGCAGCCAAGTAGTGACATCCACCATCATACCCGTAACAACACATCAAATATGTCACAATCAAATACCTCCTACACCACTTAATTTAACTGAACTCTCCATATTGATTAAATTAAACTAGTGTCGTATATATGTCGAGAACATCGTGTTACGTTCAAGCGTATATTGTTCAACATTTTATTCTCATGTTAGAATAACAATGTCTATTCTTTTCAACAAAACCATATTTACCTGAGATTGACTGATATCCACTTTAGATCCACGTTTACCAGTAGTAGTAGTAGTTACAACTGGAGTATTGTTAATTGAAGCACTGGCACTTCGACGACTACCACCACTACCCACTGCAGATGGTAACCATTTACGAACTGAGGTACTGCCACGTCGAACACTTGACGATTGTCGTGAACTTGATGTGGACGATTTACGACTACATGGTGCACCGATAAGACGTGATGGGATGAAACCTTCTTTCACTGGTGAATTAGTTGATGCATTACGCATAATCAAACGAATGAAAGCCCAATCACCAGTAGAATTGTTTGCAACATGATCACTGGTTTCAGATGTACCATTTGAAGATGGGATTGGTTCATTTGTTCGATATAGCAATTGTACAATTTGTTGTGCTGACACAGAAATCTCATTATCTTTTTCAGCCTAGATAGATATTAGCATAATACAAATGTATCCGTTATATACATACATACTACATATATAATGGGAAAAATGTCACGCCTACAAAAATGACTAATCTCATAAATATATATAAGTTTACAATAGACATTGTAACAGTGAAATCAGGAATCAGGATCAATGATAGTTAGACCATCATTGGAAAACTGGATGCACAAGGTGGTCGTTTCGTGTCAGTATAGCACTCATCAGCAGTGCACATACACAAACACACGTTCGCGGGAATCGAACATAGGACCGGTGTCATGTGCGAATGCTCAATATTTTGACAACACTGAGCCGGCATCCAACAGTATTAAGAATGTAACTTCTATCAATCCAAAATATTGCGCGACAATAGTCTATTGCGTTCAGTTGCTAACTGCTTCAAAGCTTCACAATACAAATCCAAGTACATCGAGTTTCCCAATGATGGCCGAACATTAATTGATTCATGATTGTCAATTAAAACAATGTAACAGTTTTGATAACTCAGAGGCCATTTAACGAATGAAATTTTTGAAGCAACTGCAAAATGCCTATTTTTGTATTCATCGAAAAACGTTTAATTGGAACATGATTGAAAACTTCTTCAATTCTAACCACTTTCTAACCAATTAACATAAAAATTCATGATGCAGCCTAGTGATCTAATTTCAAACCAGACCGTAGTTGCTATCTTGACACGGTGGTCGAGCTTGTCCATCATGATGACCAAACCGAGCTATATTGGCTAAAACATATGTTCTGTGTTGTATCTATCTGTCTGTCTATCTAATTTTAAAGGTGATGAATATAAATAATGAAGACAAGTTAATTACTGACTTAGTCCAATTTTTATTGGCTTCCAGGAAAGATTGCCTTGTGAGAAGGCTGGTTTTCATCGTGTTTTTGATGTGTAATAACTCACAACGAAGTTTGAATGTACAGCGGAATGTCACCGCCCTGAAGTTACTACCTTAGCGATAAGTGTCCGATCTGGATGTGTGGCGTGATCAGGGTATTTTGAAGAAATCTGAGTAAAACATGGCATATGAACCACCTCTCTTGATTGTTTCATTGAAGTAGTGAGGTCGGGGCACGGTTGATCAGTCAGTCAGTTGCAACGCAGAACTTCGTACGTATGTACATAAGTTCAGATTGCCATACCACATTATAACACAGAGACGCAAATATCAAATCGAAACCCATAGTCATAAAGATAGTAGAGGTATTAATGGTAATGAAGAAGACTAGGGTTCGAAGATATTATTCAAGAAGTATAATTCAGTGAGATAAAGTTAGAAAGACAAAGGTAGAGAAAGTGCTGACCAATCCAGAAGATTAGGATTTTTAAGAGAGCACAACGAATGGATGCACTTGAGCCATTGCAAACGATTTTGAGCCATGTCGTTCAAGGTCATTAATCATTGGTGACTTTCGTCTCACGGACCCCAACCAGGTAGTCTACATCTACCATCATGATGCAGTCCAATTGTTAGTGACTTCATGGATTTCTGACATGTTTTGGTTTGGCCGCCCCTAACTTTCTTCCAACCTATTCCTACTCCACAAAACATAGCTCGTCGAGGCAGTCGGCGGTTAGCCATACGTAACACATGTCCCAACCGCCTCAACTGATAAAGTTTCACCACTTCATCTATTGATCTGCCATCGTTACCTAGTACTCGTTTCCTAACGACAGCATTGCTTACTCGGCTGTCCCACGATATACGAGCAATGCTTCTTAAACATCTATGATCGAATACCAGTAACCTACGAACATCTTCTACTCTTAACGGCCATGTTTCACAGCCATATAGGAGAACGGAGCGAACTGCTGCACAGTACACTCACGTCCTTTAGTCAGCAAACGGATATCTCGCCTACGCGCCATAAGTGACACAGGTTGGCAAAAGCCAATCGAGCTTTCTGTATCCGTTGATCAATCTCACAATCCCTTCCTAACTTTTCCATCGATGACGCCCTACAAATAGAGAGTCTGATATCGTGCATGATTTGCCAACGTTGAGATTAACTGGAAAAAAGCGAAGCGATAGTCATTGCGCATGATGACAAGATATTGCTGCTTCAAGGTTTTCTGGTTGGGATCTTGTCATTCTGATTTCAGCCTACTTTCCGGTTTTTTCGAAAAAAAAAAACAAAACAAACTAATCTAACCACACTTGAGATCTAAACGAGAACAAATATTGAAAATTTAAAAAACCTAGTAAATAAGTTCAATATTCAATTAGGGTCATGCTGAATAAAAAGAAATACTCTAATTGAACTGAACATAATATTTTTTTTAAAAAAAACAAACAGCTTACTTGATAATTTTCAAGTATATAAAATGTATCTAAAATTTCACTAGAATCATCGAATAAGTTTGCAGAAGTTGAATTTTGATTTTGATGTTGATACAAGCTTTGAACATTGAATACACGTTCTCGCATTACTTCACGTAAAGCACGAACCCAATTCTTGAAAAAGAGAAAAATAGTTTGTTTTTTTGTAAGAAAACGATTATTTCTAGTATGAAAGAATTTTTATCATCATCATAAAAAAACTCGAGGAAGCGCTTTACAACGTGATTAACAACCTTAGTGAAATGCTACAACTTCATTCGGAACATTCTCAAATGCTCTGGTACAGTCGAAGAGTCCGCCCACCCTCTCTGAATATTCTCATACGTCTAGGCGTATGTAGCCTCCACCACATGGAAGTCCTGTATCCGTGTGTCAGGGGCGTTGTTTACGAAATTAAGAGGATGAAAAACAAATATCCTCCTCCTACCAGCGCTTAAACCAAATTGGTGCGTAAGAATGATCTCTCTAGGGGAGTTAGAAAATCTTCACTTCACCAAACCAACGGTGCACATCGTCTCCAGGATCCTGAGAAGAATGGTGTATGAACGATCTTGCGCAACCTCCATAATCTACTGTTTTGCGGTGAGCAGTGTTTCACACCCGAACAACAAGGTTGAACTCCATTGGTTAGGGTTCCAGTGGAGTATTATAACAATTGTGAACCGAAATAAAATAAATTTTGAGAAAAATAAACGTATTACACATACTACTATTAACCCGACCGTAGCTGCTACCTTGATGTGGTGGTCAAGCTTGACTATCGTGATGACCCAATCGAGCTATATTGGCTGGTAGATTGAAGAACAATGAGACTAAAAGCAGCTACCCAAGGTCTGAGGGCGAAGTCGTACTGCTGACTGCAGAGGGGTGTGACAGCAACAGTAAGGTGTTTCCCTCGGACAACCAGCATCCGCAGCGGATTTCCGTCTCCGGCGGTAAGGGAGCCTACTAAGGGCTTTCAAGAGCGGAGCTAATCCTCAAAAACCGTGCGTGACTGGCCTCAAGCAGTTGTCCCTTGTGCTCTGCGGTTACGCACCCAGGTCTCTAAGACCAACACTAATCTATCTTCCTTTTCAGGTCCATCAAGAAACAACCTTCCACGGTGTGGGCAGCCGGGAAGTGACAACCGCCCTCCATACCCGTACCAGCGCACACGAGACTATTACCTATGGATGAGTTGAATAAATGAATGAATCAATTTGACAATAAATTAAAAATAAAACAAAACATTACTTGTTTCAATTCAAGTGTTCCAGCTTTCAATACCATGCGATATTCATGAATCGGTGGTATACGTCCAGTCCATAAAGCAAATTTACACTGATCTCCTTCAATATGTTCAGTTATATTACAATCGGCTAATAACAGTCGAGATTTATAAATATACCTTGAAGAGTGAAAAAACGGCACGCGCACACACACACACGCACAAACACAAATAAATCAGTGAACTTGACGTTAATTAGAACAAAATATCAGTGAATTACAAACGTAAAAACTACACTTAACAACAACCGACTTTAAAAAAACAGACTGCCTAAATTATCCTGTGACCATCGCAATAACTGTTCATTTCCTAGTGGACGAATAAACATTAGAATGGGTATTTCTTACAGAGTAGTGATTGCCGATAACCTCATACCATCAATGGATCTAAATCACAAGTATGTTAGGGGCTTTTGAAAAAAGGCTTGGCAACTTCTTATTTCTAAATTAGCAGCGATATAACATAATCATCGCCAATTCCAGCTAGAAGGGCAGAAGTCGCGCCCTCTGTACATCAGTCTCCAGTGAACAGTAAAATTATTCTTATATAGGAGGTCAACTCTGCCTGCAATTCGTGCAGGATTACTGCCGATCCCAAGCCTGGATAAATAAGGAGAGTTGGGTAGGCAGTTAGCGACCCAATCTCGTGGAAGTGCAACTCGCTAGAAAAAAAACAAACCAGGAAACATAATTCGCTGGTTGGCGGCCGATGCTTCATTTGGGGGTAAAAGGTGTAAATAAGCAATAAAGGAGAATAAAGTTCAACAACATTGATAGAACAAAAAAATCTAACTCAAATCTAGCGATTACAATTGACTTATTTACAAAAAACTACTGACTAACTGCTGATGAATGAAGTCGACGGATAACATAAAATGATTTAGGACGATACAATTGAACAAACTCCTCCTGGAGCCTCTTCTACGGGGTTACTGCCGGTTCCGAATCCGAAAAAAAGGAGGAGAATAGTGCTCGGGGGTTAGCGACCCTACCCAATAGAAATCCAACTCGCTAACAAAAACGCTAACCATTTAAACTCTACTTTGTGAGTTGAACACTTTTATGCTGGTTGGTGGGCCTATGCTCCATTAGGGATAGGCAACAGGTGTCTTAATAAGATACAATTGAAAAGTATGCAAATTAATAAAAAGTAAAATCATCCAGTTGCTAACTCAGTGACTAAAAAAACAGACATCATCACAAGATCTAGATTCCTAAAATACAATACTTTGTGCGATCGTGAATGTGAACTGGTGAGGAACAGTTTTTAGAGTATGAGCCAAAAGCTTTTCAGTGTCTTTTATTTGCTGTTCAATAATAATCAATCGCCTGACTTCAAGTCAACTGATATGCAGAAAACGTTGGATTCGTAGAATAAAGCAATAAAAATGAGATCTTGGCAATCCTATAAAAAAAAATCTCTGTGTGCACATCACTTCACATCACATCACCACACATCACTTACTTGGATTTATGTTCACCTGGTTGATTGGCAGCTTCTTTCGCTAGAATTAAACATTGATCAAATAGGAAAACGCGTCGTTCACGACTTTTTTTAATCAGCTGTTTCGGTTCCCAAATAGTGAATTGATCTTGTAATATAACATCACCTAATGATGACAGTGGAGTATCTTCAGGAAGATTCTAACAGAAAGAGAAGACAATCAATGAGTGACTATTGCATAATAATGACGATTAAAAAAAAGGGAAACATGAAATAAGTCGGGTTTTAAGTAGTATAAAAGTGCGAAAACATCTAGACTCAAACCAAAAATGTAACTTCAGTTCATGAAATCATTTGACTACTATTAGTATAAGTCATGTTGAGTAGTAGATGCCTACTACCTAGTGGATGACTCATTCAGTCAACTACAACATAGAACTGAGTACGTCAGTTCAGGCTACCATACCATATTAGACCAGAGAGATAGAATCGTTAATCAATCAATAGCAACGTAGAACTCTGTACATACTCACACATAAGTTGTCATACCACACAGAAACCGAATTGTCACATTCCATACTAGTAGATGTAGTAGAAATATGAGCGGTAACAAAGAAGATAAAGGTTCGAAGGTTCGATATTATTCAAGCATAATTCAGTGAAATGAGTTTAACAAGAGAAAAAGAGACAGAGGTAATGAGGCATTCATAAGTTTACAGTTTGAGGGGACACAAAGAATGGATACACCGGTGTTATTTCGAGTCATGTCATTCAAAGTCTTTAACCATCGGTTACTAATGTATTGCGGACCGCAACCAGGTAGTCGTCTACACCTACCAATATGACTTAGTCCACCTGTCAGTAATTAATTTCATGGATTTCTGCCATGTTTTCGACTCGACTGGCCGCCCTTAGCTTTCTTCCAGCGTACACCTACATTAAAAAACATAACTCGTCAAGGCAGTTTGGGGGGTTGACTACTGTTCGACTTTTTCATGACCAACTTAAACATAAAAAAAGTGTCAGGTACGAAAAAAAATTTTTTTTACTGAAAAGTTAGTTTGAGAACAGGAAAATGAGGGCAAATCATGATCTGGGGCATTTGGAAGTTTCAGGAACCATAATAAATACAGTAGCCATATATAACTAAATATCTAGCCAGAATCGCTGCATATGATTCTGTGAATTGTCCAGATATTTCTTCAGCGGAGGTTTTATTCAATGCTAATTGGATAAAATGCTTCTTCATGGCTTTAATATTACGATTCCAAAGTAATTTGTACTACTCATCCTAAAGAACAATTTCTTTCATTTTGACGCTTATACATTTTTCACAACTATTATTATTTTGCAATGTGTAAGAGACGGGATCGAACTCCGTTGGGAAATGATGGAGGTATACGATAGATCACCCGAAAACATCTAGATTTATCTACAATGTGATCACTATCTACCAGGCAATATAGATCAAGTTTCGGAATAACTTCGTTGAGTGGTCCATTTTCTAGCTTGCCATTATGTCGATGACACATTCATCATTGTAGATCAGGATACCAGAAAAGAAAAACTCTTAGAACAATTCAACAATGTACACCCGGCAATCACGTTCACTGGTGAAGAAGAATACAATAAAAAAACTGTCTTTCCTTGACATCACACCAAGGTAGGCGAAATGATGGTTCACTAAGTAGAAGCGTATATAGAAAAAATCCCAGTGCTTGCCAATACACTCACTTTTGTAGTTTTACACCTATCCGCTACAAAAGAAATTTGGTTAGATGTCTCACTTACAGAGCAAATGTGATATGTTCAATGGATACTTTAAGTCAGGAGCTGGAATTCATCAACGGCTCACTAACCGAGACTGGTTAGTTATCCCAGCGCATTCATAAAGAAGTATATGTTTGCCGTAAAAAAGAAGTCGGTGGTTTCGATCGCCCAAAAGAAGCCTTTATTTATGAAGCTACAATTCAACGGAGATGTGGCCTGCGATACTCTGTAGGACAGATTAAGAAGAGTAATTAACAGAACATTCAACGCTGCCCAGCTTGCACTGACTTTCTCCAGTCGACCTGCGATGTCTGCTCAAACGAAGGATAAGTTACCTGAGCTGGCCCCCTCTATGTGTATTATTATTTTGTTAGTCTTAGTGTCGTTCTCTGGAGATGGATGTTTCTTTTTTGGTTGTAGAGCTGTCATTGTTCTTCTGTTGGTTGTTGATCGGAAGAAAAATAATGAAAACTCCACAACTAAAACATTCCCTTAGCTCAGAGAACAAAACTCCAAAACAATCATCAACCTGAGATACAAATATCTCAATACTTCAAACAATATATCTATTATGTTCGTCACTACGTATGCTTGAGGCTATTACGAGTTTACCTTAGTCGATAATCGTGAACGAGACAATTACCAACGTCCAGATTGACTACCTTGAATCCCCAAATAAATTAAGAAGACTTGGTAAGCGTAGAAAGTATATTCTACAAACACTCAGCAATCACACAGTACAATCAAGCATACAACTCTTGTTTATTTATCCATCATAGAAGCATCCTTGAGACAGTTAAGAAAATAGCACACTAAAATACACAGCAGCCAAACACAGCCATGGATTTTACTGGTGGGAAATGAAATCTCAAGGCCAACTGATCAGCCCACGTGAAATCCAGAAAATAAGACATTTATCAAGCGAGTTCTGGGGATCTAACATCCCCAACAATATCGATCTATCTAAACGATGAATTGTTTGCAATCAATCGATAAGAAAGTTAATATTATGTAAAAAGTTAGTTGTGAACGAAGCATCCACCTAGAGAAAATTAGTATAGTAAAAAACGTTCATTCAAAATCAATAGCGCACATCGGCTCAAGGCTCCCATTAGAACGAATAGAGTATGAGCATCGATTACCATCGGACGTTGCATCATTGTTTTGTCGATTAGACCTCTGGGTTACAAAGGCTTGAAGTGTGGTCCTCTAAAATAGCCACCGGTTTCAGTTTAGGCGCCAAAAAATTATCCCAGCTAACTCACAAGTTCAATAATTTCTGTAGCGTATAACAATCTCAGTACCCCCCCCCCAATTTGTACCAATCTATTTATATATATACATGTATTGAAATTGAAACTTTGAATTTCAACATGAAATTCAAACATTATACAAAGATTTTACACACAAACACACGCCTACGCCATAAATGACGCAGGTTGGCAAAAGCCAATCGAGCCTTCTGTATCCGAGCTGAGATTTAGTCAGTCACCAGGCCGTCAGCACTGATGAGACTCCTTAGATAATTGAAGTGTTCAACACGCTCGACTACTTCACTCCCTATCACTAGTTCAGGTGCCGATGCAACCCAGTCTTGAAGCATTTTGCATTTCGAGGGGGAAAACCGCATCCCGAACACCTAGAAAATATTCCAGCTCACTCAGAAGTTCAATAATTTCTGTGGCATATAGTAATCTAAGTACCCATATGTACAATATATATATATATACATAAAACTTCGAATTTCAACATTATAAAAGGATTTTACACACACAAACACATAGACACGCAAGTATTTACTTACCTGTAGCATACTTAAATGCAATGCATCATTAGCACGTTTCGGTACACTGAGCATAGCTTCTAAACCTTCACTAATTTCCCCGATACCAGCTGGATCACAACAATCACGTAATTCACGCAATAATAATTGATATTTAGTAACACGTTGAACTGGTTTAATCAAATAGGATTGTAATGGTTCAACAAGATTGTAATATAACTATAGAAACGAAGAGAGGGAGACAAACAAACAGCAAATTATAACTATGATCAACGGAAAATATACGATCAAGTAGTGTATTGGTATTTTTGGTGGGGAATAGTTCTTTGAAACGGGGATGAGCTTAGGCGGCGGCGGCTAAACCAAATCCTGGAACTTATAATAGTTCCAAATCGTGATTAACTCTTCGAATACCTTTTATTTTTGTGCGCACAAACTAACTTTTGGGTAAAACATTCTTTTCGTACCTGATACCATTTTTTATGTTCAAGTTACTGTGTAGAATTTAGTCTGGGTTTATTATTATTATTGTTATTGTTATAAGCAGCTAGCAAGTCAGATGTCTCTATTATTACTGTCAACTATGGGTCATGAAAATGTTGAATAGGCGTCAACCACCGTCTGCCTCAACGAGTGATGTTTTGTGGTGTAGGGGCAAAATTGAAAGGAAGCAGTGAACTGAGCCATGTTAGTAGGTGTAGACGACTGACTACCTCGTTGAGGTCCGCCAGATAATAGTGATCAATGGTTAGAGACTATGAATGACATGGCTCGAAATCGTTTGCAACGGCGCAAAGGCATTCATTCCTACTGGTTACTGCATTAAATTCGAAGTAGGGCTCACCACTTTATTGGACCGCGACGACTGCGATATTCACGAAATATTATGAAATAAATCTTCCCTCTCATTACCGAACCCCGTTTAAGTATTGGTGGTAATAAGAAGCGAAAAACTGATTCGTTTGGATGAGTTCATTTCATGCATTCATTTAAGCAGACAGACAAAAATGAAAAAGCGTACAAGCAAAGCGAAGTGAAGTGAAGTGAAGCTAGCTCATTCACCTTCTCTCCATTTCGCTACGCTTTAGCTTGTACTCATTTCATTCTAATGTCTACCTGTGTCAGCAATTACATGGAATAAATTCACCTGCAAAATCGTAATTTGCTTCTTATTACCAGAGTATTGCACAAACGGGATTCGTCTAAGTATGATATACAGAAATAAGATGAAATACTTATTCCAACGTATATTTGGCTAATTGTCCAGACTAGATCGCTGGCCACTATAAAATGATGAGTCCTATATCGAATTCAACGTAATCAGCGAACATCTCAATCTTTTAGATTTGATACTTTTCACCTAAAAACAACTACTACTCTACAATCTCCTTAATAGAAAACAAATGATGTAGTTGATAAATCTCGGCTGAATCATAATGATAATTGTTGTAATGCTTGCTTAGATAATTTCCAGCTAATTCCTATTGCTTAGTATTCTCTGACTACACAATACACTGGACAAGTTCCCAAGAATCAAAAACACTGTTGAACAGGAAAAAATAATATATTCCAAATAGCAAGGTTAAGTAGAAATAAGAAGACTAGGTGATGGTGAAGACGAAGGCAAACATAGATACAACGTTATTATCTTCATAGTATTAACATGAGAAGCTTCTGGATAGAAATTCACGTGATCGACTGGATTAGATTTAGCGAATCAGCATGCAGCTAACAACACAAGAATCGATCAGGCGCTGATTGGATAGGAAATTAGCCAATCAGCGCGTAGCAACGCAGTCATGCTTTAATTCCATCTATGTCCCACTAATAATAGTGAATAAGTGCAGTTAAAAACTAACAACTTGTAAAAGTATCATCAACTTGTAAAAATTTTATGATGACCATGTTGCTCAAATTTACACATGAAATAAGTGTTGGTGTAGATCAAGTAGGTTGTTTTTTTATTTAAAAAATAAGCAATATCGAATCTCCGTTCAAAATTTCACTGAAATCAAAAATCAGTCAGATATCATTAAAGTAGTGTTTAAGAACTTGACAGTTTTGCTCAACAAGAATACTATTTGTATGTCCAGTTGAAATAATCTAAAGCACCATTGGACACTCGGAAGCAATCAAAAGCTGTTTCATACTAGTACAAAATTCATCAGCGGTGCACATCCACAACTATGAACATGTAGGAATCAAACTCCGTGGTTTCCGTTTCTTTTCGCTGCGCGCCAACGCCTAACCTCTGAAGAGACCAATGAGCTAGTAATCTAACAGTGGGCATGTTTTGATTGTTGCAAAAACAAGTCAAGTGTCAATAGAAAAAAAAAACTTACTTGTAACGATTGAAAATAACCTTGTCCATGTTCAATAACTAGTCTGGTAGACTCAGTATTATTTACACAATATTCCACATATAATTCAGCTAAACGATCACTATGCACAACAAAACAATGTCCAACATCTTCTGGTAGGAAATCACCACTTTCAGTGTATTTAGCTAATTCCGGTTCAAATGTTTGCTTATGAAATTCATAAATCAGTGGAATATTACCAAAAACAATATCTGCTTGACCAATAAGTCCAGATGGAACCTATTAAATATGATGAAAGGAGACAGCAATAAAGATTTTGTACATATTCAACTGAGGAAAGTATGAAAATGTAATAATTACAGATTGTCTATCATATAAAATAATGATAGATTACTGAATAAAAAACTGTAACAAATACCGCTCGCCCAAAATAAAAATAAATTAAGGGTGTGTTAGGATATTGATCAAATTATCCGAAGAGAATCAGTTTTGGAAGTTTAATTCTATATATTGGTTGATTCCTATTGGTCAATATGATGGTCGTCTTAGATATCCATGTCACGTGTTTCAATGTTGATTCCTATTCGACCTAATTGTATAAATATGCATTTATCTGTAATGTTTTATGACCCGGATTTGGATCCTTATTCTGGGATCTTGATTCTCTTCTGGACTCGGACCTCATACTTTCTGGATGCTTCTAGAATACAAGTTCTACTTCATATCTGTTACGCTTGCACGTAAACACGTCAACTTGATATACTTGAATTATGTTACGAGTTTACCTAGTCGGAAAACGAGAGCGAGGATTGAGAATCCGGTGACACGACATACTACTCAAATCCGAATATCCCAGCCCCCATCTTGAGTAAAAAAAAGAAGGCTTGATATGAAGTAGAACTTGTATTCTACAAGCATCCAGAAAGTACGAGGTCCGAATCCAGAAGAGAATTAGGATCCCGGACTAGGGATCCGGGACCGGGTCCTGGTCCTAATCGTGGTCATAAAATGTTACAGATAATGCGTATTTATACATTTTGGTCAAATATGAAACAGCATCGAATTCTGTGGCATTGACAGTTAAGACGACCAATAGGAAGTAACATTTGAAATGACATTGATAGTCCGGATGACCAATAAGAGACAACATCGAAGTATTTGACTTTGACAGTTAAAACGATCATAATTTTGACCAATAGAAATCGACCAATAGGATTTGACCAATAATTCTCTTAGGATATTGGATGAATATCCTAACAAAATCAAATCTTCTTCTTTTTACTCAATGGAGGTTTGGGACAAGTGGATTAGAGTAGCATGTCATGTCACCGGATCCTCGATCGTTGCTCTCGTTTTCCGACTAAGGTAAACACACACGTAATAGTTCAAGCATGTTAAATGACATGTTGATGTGCATTAGTAAGTAACAGAGTGGTTTTTTTTTATTAGCCCAGTTGTATTCAAATTCGTTAGACAATTCATTGAAAATAAAAATCTCACTACAAGGGATTTTAGTTGTCTTGATGTAACACACAAAACGGAGACGCAGCTGGGAAGGGCACAGTTTACCAAAAATAAAACGTGTACTACACCTTTCAATCTTCAGACTTTTAATTGTAAAACAATCAAATTGATTGACTGGCTTCTTTCACATGTCTTTGATTGCTTGCAATTTGTGGGCGACACTTCTCTCAGAGAATACTGCTTAGAACACATCAAACGAACAGTATCCACCCCAGATTGACACACTATCTAGTATGTAAAACTTGTCAAACTAACAAATGTGACAGGCTACACAAGATTGACAATTTGAGAATTAGCATTCTATTATAGCTGTTAATGTGTAGAACTGATTAGGCAATGTATGATATGTACAAATTATTAATGACATGCAATTTTTTACAACTATTCTTATGTAACATTCCGACTGACATAGATAAACTTCTATGGAAGGTGTACTAACTAAACTGTAAAAATAATAACACAGTGCACTGTTAAGGGTATGAGGGCGGATGTCACTTCTTAGATGCGCACACTAAAGGTTAGTTGGTGAGGAACGTGAATAGGAAATTAGGTTAGTGTTGCTCTTGCACACCTGGGAGCGTGATAAAAATACCCAAGAGACAATTGCATGCAGGCGGTCACGCATGGCTCTTTATAAATGACGTGTGAGCTTCACTCTTCACAAAAGGCCTTACAGCCATAGACAGAAATCCCTGAGGTAAGGTGAGAGGTGACATTTCTAGGGTCGACATTCTCTAACCCCTTCCTTACACTTGTGAGAAGGCAGCATCGCTGCAAATGCTAGTTGTCCGAAGGAAACACCTTACTGCTGCTGTCACACCCATCTACAGTCAGCAGTACAACCTCGCCGTCAGATCTTTTAGTTGCTACTTTCAGTCTCATCACCATTCTCCAATCGACCTGCCTGGCATGGTAGAACCGAAAATGAACATTGATTCCAGCCAATATGTAGCTCGGTTGGATCATCAGGATAGGCAAGCACGACACCACCACCTACCTACACAACCAACCACATCAAGGTAGCGGCGGATAAGATTGGGGAAAAACCAATACAATGCAATAGAGTATAACAATTGAACAAGTGAATGGTATCTAGTTGAGATAATGATTACTAATCGTATTAGAAAGAAAATAAAACATACTTGAGCAGCTAACATTTTCGGTGGAGTTATTAAACCTTTACGATAAGTTTCCATACATTGTTCTAACGATTGTATATACAAACGTTCAGTTTGAATTAATTCACGTAGAAGATATTCACGTCTACGTACTAATCTACGCTGTTCTTGTGTTGCACCAGAAGCTGCAGCTGCTGATGATACTACTAAATAAGAGTCATTTGTTAAATTTACACCGGTACTACCACCTGTACCAGAACTACTTGTACTTGACACGGACGTTCTATAATATGTGATGAAGAAAACAAAACAACATAAGAGATTACTTAATTGAAGATACTGACATATCGATTCATTCATAGAGGAGATAGAAAACAGAGAGTCTGTATCCACAGTCCAGTCAGATGCAACGTAGAACTTCGTAAGTAAGTATATCAGTTCATGTTGCCATACCGCATCAGCACACAAAGATGCAATTGTCAATTCAAATCCAATAGTAGTAGAGGTAGTAAGGGAATTAGAAGTAATCGGAGAGGTTAGGATTAGAAGATATTATTCAAGAAGTATGATTCAGTGAGAAAAGTTTAGAGAGTCGAAACTAGAGGTGTTGAAGAATCCAGAAGATTAGGATTTGAGAGAACACAAAGAATAAATGCACCGGCGCCATTGCGAACGATTTTGAGCCATGTCATTCAAGGTCTCTAACCATCGATTATTATCATCTCGCGGAACCCAACCAGGTAGTCGACAATTACCGAAATGAATCAGTCCACTAGTCAATGACTTCATGGATTTCTGCCATGTAGTCCGAAATAGAAATATTTCCTAGGTTGTAAATAAATAATTTAATGCTTCCTCATTCATTTCGTGGCGGTAAATTTGGCTTTCAAAGGACTAATCAGTCAGTCAGTCAGTTAGCAACAAGGTAAACTTTCGAACGTTCATACATCAGTTCGAGTTGTCGTACCATATTTACACACACAGAGATGGAATTGTCAAATCAAACCTCATAGTGATAGATTTAGTAGAAGTATGTATGAGCAGTAATCTGAAAGATTACGGTATGAAGATGTTATTCAACAAGGTTATCTCAATGAAATAAGCGCAGAAGACAAAGATAACGGTGATGACGAATTCAGAAGATTAGAATTTAGCCATGTCATTCAAAGTCTCTAATCATCGGGCAGAATAAATAGTCTTGCGGACCTCAACTAGGTCAACATTTATCAACATGACTCAGTTCATTTGTCATTGACTTTATGGATTTGTGATGTGGCCGTCCTTGGCTTTCTTCCAATCCTACTCCTACAATGCAAAACATAGCTCGTCGCGGTAGTCAGTGGTTAGCCATACCACCGACTGCACATGTTTCCTGACTGTGCTAATTGTACTATATGATCGATCGTAAGTGCGATGCGAATATGGTTTTAAACTGGTTGCACTGAGCAAGACAATAGTGACCGATGGTTAGAAACCTTGAATGACATCATGACTTAACATCGACTGCGATGGCGCAGGTGCATTCATTCTTCATATTCTCTCGAATTCTTCATCACCTTTATCTTTCTCATTCAGCTGGAAATGCAATCTCGTAGGGATGTAAGATCCCCAGAACTCGCTTGATAAATATCTTTACTTTGGATTTTTTTTCATGGACCGATCAGTTGATCTTGAGATCACATTTGCCACCAGGAAAATCCTTGGCTGTGATTGGTTGCTGTGTCATTTTAGTGAGCTATTTTTGTGACTGTCCCAAGGACGTCGACTCTATAGAGTATATAAATAAACGTTATTTGAATGCTTGGATTCATTGTGTACTGCTGGCTGGATGTTTGTAGAATACAACAATTTCTACACTATAACAAGACTTCTTTGCTGATTCACAATTTGGTCAAGGGATAACAGCAGCCTACCTGGACGCTGGTTCATTGATTTGTTCTTGTTATTCGACTAAGGTGAACTCAAAATAGTTTAAAAGCGTACCTAGAGACGAGTGTAACAGTTCGTTAGTTAAGTCGACCAATTCTTGTAGGTACGTCACATTCTAAGCTGAGGCTTACTCATTTATGTGAAGGTGGCTGTGTTATGTTCATCGTCAGGCTCAACAACTCTGTGGTAGAAGATGTAGACTCACCAGTTTTATGGTAGTCGGTATTCGTATACTGCTCGTCTTGATAACCGTTACTAGATAACGCCCAATCACACACAGATCACAAAACCACAGGAACACAAAACGAAAATGATATGCAAGTGCCGAAGAGCAAGTGAAAGAGCGAGTGAGTGCGTCAGTGAATAAGATTAAAATGTACAGATATAGAAAGAACATAGGAAATTAGATGAGTCTCAAATTATTTTGGCGGCTAACATTAAAGCCAATAAAATGAATATGCGCACGTAGGCGGTAAGCAACGCTCAATTATACCTGTTCATAAAAAACGCGACAAATAATAAAACCACAAATTAAACGTAAACAAACTCTCAAATATATGTATATGTCAATTGTTATATAAACACACTAACCTATCCGGTTCCGCTTCAAGTGTTTTCAATCCAGGTTGTATATCAACTTTAGAGGATGGAGCAGTAGTGGCGCTTTTTTTCAATTCACCCGCCGAAGATTGGTAATCTAATTTCTGTGCATCTTTAAATCCTTTACCAGTACTACTAGTAGTGAGAGTAGAAGAAGTATTCGCTGCTGCTGCTGCTGCCGCCGCTGCCGCAGTAGTAGTAGTAGTAGACTGTGTATCACATGAACGAAGACGTTGTAAAAGTGCTTCCATTTGAGTAGCATGACCAGGAGATAAAGGCGGTGAAGAAGAGGCTATCATTGATTCTAAACTAGCACAAGCTCTATACACTTCTTGTAATAAAGAAGGATTAAGATTTGAAAGACATAATGAATTAGAATAACCAGTGGATTTATTAATTGTTGACTCTTGGACATTATGTACACGTTCGAGAAGATCTTCAATTTGACGCTGGAAAAAAAAAAGAAAATATAGATGTGTAACGGAAACAATATCAAAAAAAAATATGTTGATTTGTATAGAAATTATGAAGTAGATTGGAGAATACTGGTCGGCAGTCTCTATGATGCTTCATTGGGGGTAACAGACGTAAGTAGTAACAGTAGTAGTAATGGAAAGCAGATAACGAATTTCAAAGCAATGTAATACTACTACTGATGTATATATATATATATGATTTTCATGAAAATCTTTACAAACCACTCTAAGTCATAGTTAAATATTACAAGTAATTTTAATTCATTCAAATACAGTTCATCTCGAGATGGTGGAGAAAATTTGTAGCTCAGGTGGATGATTGTGGTGGTGTTTAGTTCTCTGAGCTGGATGCTTTGGTTGGTGGAGCTTTCGTTATTCGCTTTTGAACAACATCTGTAAAAATTCATGTTTCATCTCGTCTGAACTGCAGTCAGTGAATAGGCCATAGGCAGATACGACGAAGAGGCAACGACGGGTGACCCTATCTTTCCGAGTCCTTAATGTCCCGTTCAGTCGCACAGTGCATAATCGACTATCTACAGGGATACAGTCTAGGAGAGCTAGTTCTGCCCTACGACTGAATACTATAGCTACACCAGCGAAACCCCGAGAAGCTGCATCACGGCTACCGGATACATGAGCAGTAATTAGGGATGCTTCTTTATTTCGATAAGGTGGGATCAGATTAATGATTTTACTACGATCCTGTATGCGCGTTTCCGAGACGCAGCATACATCGATGGCACGAGATTCTAACGTTCTAGCTAACGAAGCCTGTTGACCTATTTGACACAATGTCCGTACATTAAAAGCTCCAACATGTAGTCTAGAACGGGGTTTCAAGAGACCAGGAATGACGTTTCGTGAACTCGCATCGTTTGCATTAGCGGTGTAGTGAGCTGAAGGAATGCGAGTAGAGTTAGTCTGTCTGTCTGTCTGAACAACATCATCAGCATAAACTTCAGAGAGCAGAAGTGAAGCATTCGAATTTCTTCAAGTTTGACCTGTAGCTTGTTATGCTAACACCTCGATCTTGATTGGTTGTTGTTGACCTTCACGCTCATATGATTTAGAGATGGTGGAGAAAATTTGTAGCTCAGGTGAATAATTGGATGCTTCACTTGTATCTAAAGTTTGTGTTGATGATGCTGTTCAGAAGAACCAATGGAAGCTGCACAACTAAAACATCCAACTCAGAGAACTAAACACCATCACAGTTCATCTCAAGGTAGAAGAGATGCATACAAATTTTATGACAGAACAATAATTATATAATTCAGAGTAGATCTTTTATGAAAATGACACATAGAAGAATGGGTAACTAGTTGATTTTTATGCTACATGTGTTTTTATGTGAAGACTGATGAACCAACACAACACTTGGCGCAGAGGTGTTTCAAACTCCAATAAGCAACAGCTTGTGCTGAGTACTCATATAAGTCGAACCAATATATGGCCCGTTAATCTATATTCATTTCAGTGCATTATTCATAAATCTTTTGAGCTAGTCAATCATTCTTTTACATAATAACCTTGGTTGTTTATACTTGTGCGTGCGTGCACTGCTTACTTCGCCCATCACATGAATAACTCTATCTACGTCTAGCTTAACCAGGCCTTATCAGGTGGAGTTGGTCAACTCGCCTTCTTCGCTCCATTGTTTAAATACAAAATGTGTTGGGGACGTTAGATCCCCAAAACTCGCTTGATAAATGCCTCACTTTGGATTTTAACGTTTGCCAGCATGGACTGATCAGTTGACCTTAAGATTTCATTTCCCACAAGGAAATTCCATGGCTGTGATTTTAGATGCTGTGTATTCATCAAGTGTGCTATTTTCGTAACTGTCCCAAGGACATTTCTATGATGTATAAATAAACGAGAGTTGTGTACTTGATTGTATTGTGATTGCTGGGTGTTCGTAGAATATACTTTCTACGCTTATCAAGACTTCTGTTTGTCAGTTTTGGGATCAAGGTAGCCTACCTGGACGATGTATGGTAATTGTCTCGTCGTTCGTGTTTTTTCGATTAAGGTGAACTCGGAATAGTTTCAAGCGTACCTACCTAATGACGAACATTAACAAAATTTGTATGGAATAAATTCAGTCGAAATAAAGCGAAGCTTTTATAATAATCGAGGAAATTAAAGGGACATGCAATAATTCCATTGTTCGTAGAAAATGAAGGTCAGATTGCTGACCATTAAAAGCCGCTCAGAAACACTATTCTCTTCACTAAAGCGAATTACATAAAAAAACAAAAATATACATTTAACACGGATTGTATTGTACCGAACAGAGTACTTGAAAAAAACAACCTACTTTTAAATTCATAAAATAAGTACAATCATCTAAACGTCTACGTCGTACAGCCCATGCTTCTAAAACAGCTTTCTCTTTAGCCATTAATTCAGTCATAGCTAAACGAATTTTCTCTTCAACTTCTACACGTCCAGTTGTACTAGTTGGTTGACGATGTAAATATTTACTAAACAAATCAGATGTACGCCTAAAAACCACCAAAGAAAAACAAGACAATTTTAGAATGTTACAATGATTGAAGTGATCAATCAATATTAAAAAAACACAGTCAATATTATGTGATTTTTTTTGAGAATTCATTCAAAGATAGAACCATTATTAACAGAAGTAGACCGCAATGCGATTCATGAGGCATGTTTCGTCCTATGTGGGATACATACAATAGTTGAGTGAGTTTATATTGTAGTGTATATGTTTGTACAGCAAACTAATGGGGCTAGAAACATCAATCCCAACCCAGATGATCCTGTCTGCCTACTGTGATGAGTAAACAGAGTTATATTGGTTAGAAAACATGTTTTTGCTATGTCCTACTACTATGTCAAGCAGGTCAGTTAGAGAAAGGCAAGACTAACATCAGTTATTTACAGTCTGAGAATGAGGTTACACTGCTGACTGTAGAAGGATCTTAGGAGAGTAAAGTGTTTCTCTAGTACAACCTACATCTGTAGCGATACTGTCTTCTCAGAACAGATGGAAAGGATGATAAAACGTAGATGGCTGAAGTAAACGTCAACACACGTGTTTCACTTCTTCATCATCAACAGCAACGTAGGACTTCGTACGTACGTACATCATTTCAAATTGCCTTAGCGCATTAGCATATAGATGCAATTGTCAGTCAATTCCTATCGGTTAATTCCTACTGGTCAATTTTATGGTCATCGTAGATATCAATGTCACGTACTCCAATGTTGTTTCTTATTAGTTGTCCTGACTATCATTGTCACTTCAAATGTAGCTTCCTATTGGTCGTCTTTACTGTCAATGTCACAGACTTCGATGCTGTTTCTTATTCGACCAAAATGTATAAATACGCATTATGTGTAAGGTTTTACGACCAGGACCAGGACCAGGACTCGGTCCCGGATCCCTAGTCCGGGATAATGATTCTTTTCTGGATTCGGACCTCGTACTTTCTGTGGATGCTTGTAGAATACAAGTTCTACTTCATATCAAATCTTCTTATTTTCTACTCAATATGGGGGGCTGAGATAATCGGATTCGAGTAGTACGTCATGTCGCCGGATCCTTGCTCTCGCGTTTCCGACTAGGTAAACTCGTAACATAGTTCAAGTATATCAAGTTGACGTGTTTACATGCAGGCGTAACAATGGGCAGTAATCGGAGAGATTAGTGAAATAAACTTGATTATTAGATAACCCCATAATCTATTCACTTGTTACATGAATGTATTGGCTATGAGTTACACATATAAAAAGACAATTAAACATCACGGCATCCATCCACAAAACACACACACATACATATACACGATAGACTGATCAATACACAAGCCATAATAACAACAGGTAAGTAAAATAGAAAAAAAAAGACAAAGATTAACAATTCACAAACCGGATGGATATGAACATCAAAAAATTATTGATCTGTAGGATTTTTTTTTCTAAGTAGTGAATTCATAGAAAATGATCTTGATTTTATAATCAATCTTTATAAATTCTCTTTCTATTCTCATTTTACAAGAATATCGTTTTGTGAATTTTGGATACACAACTGACAGGAAGTTCAGCGCATGTAGGTTTCTTGCTAGTTATTTAATCTCCTTAAAATCTAAACTATCAAGGGTTGTAGTCAGTTACAACGTAAAGTTCAGTACATACGTAAAATATCAGATTAGCACACAAAGATGAAATTATCCGGCTAAATCTCAGAGTAGCAGACAACATGACAGTAACGCTGGGACGATCGTAGATGTGATTCAAAAGAGTTAAAGACAGTGCAATATAAATTCAGAGGCATTCAGAAACAAAAAATTCGAAAGGATGATAAATAATAGAAGAATCTTTGCCATTACGAACGATTTCAAGCCATGTCAATCAAAGTCTTTAACCAATAGTTAGCATTGTCACCCGGACCCTACCCAGGCAGTCGAAAACTATCAATATGGTTCAGTGCATTTGTCAATGATTTCATGGATTAGTGACATTTTTTTTCCGGTTTGGACGCCCGTAGATTTCTTCCAGCACTACTACTCCTAGATTACATAATATCGCTCTTCGAAGCAGTCAATGGTTGCGCATATGTTATACACATGTCTGAACCGCATCAACTAACAAAGATTCACTACTTCATTATTACCGAGTAGGGCTAAAATCGAGAAATTTGTGATAAACTGTCTACATGACTGATTGAATCACTGAAACTTCATCAGTTGAGGTGGTTGGGACATGTGTTACGTATGTCTAACCACTAACTGCCTCGACGAACTATGTTTTGTGGTGTAGGAGTAGGTTGGAAGAAAGTTAGGAGCGGCCAAACCAAAACATGGCAGAAATCCATGAAGCCACTAACAAGTGGACTGAGTCATGTTGGTAGATGTCGACTACCTGGTTGGGGTCCGCGAAACGATAGTCACCGATGGTTAGAGACCTTGAACGACATGGCTCAGAATCGTTTGCGATGGCGCAGGTGCATCCACTCTTTGTGTTCTATGAAATTCTAAGCTTCTGCATTCCTCATCATCTCCATCTTTCTCCTACTAAATTTATCTTACTGAATTATACTTCTCGAATTATATCTTCACTCCCTAATCTTCTCCATTACTACTGCTAATACTTCGATTATAGCTATATCACTACTCTTGGATTTGAACTGACAGTTACGTCTCTGTGTTGATGTGTTATGGCAACCTGAACTGATGTACTTACGTATGTACGAAGTTCTGCGTTGTATCTGTCAGCGTGTCTGAATCATTGATTGCTGTTTCGTTTCTCAAAATAATTTTACCGACTAACCAATCAATCAATCACAGTGTAAACTGGAGTTTCATTTACACCTATTTGTTAAACTTATACTCATTTGCACAAAATACAAGTTTTTTCATGCTTTTTCTATTGAATTCAACAGTGGATTTTCTCCAATCCGTTTTTTTATTTAATACACATAAATGGTTTGTACAATTTCTCGTTAATAAGTAATTTCTTTATTATTGGTGCACTTAAACGGATAAAACGCACTGGGTGATTAGAACATGTTTAATATGCAGATACTATAGAATAGAAAACAGATTGACTAATTAATAGTCAGCTACAATGCAAAAAATTCGTACATATTTGTACATCAGTTCAAGTTGTCATACAGACAAATTAACACACAGAGATGGAACTGTCCGTTCAAATCCCATGATGCTAGCTAGGTGCTGCAGAAGTGTTGATGGTTATCAAAAGGATTACGGATCGAAGACATCATTCGATAGGCATAAACGAAATGAAATAGATTTTAAAAAAAGAACAAGATAAGGGTGGTGGTGAGTGTTACGACGGCATGTAAACAGGTCAATTTGTTATGCTTGAATAATTACAAGTTTACCTTTATCAGTAAACGAGAGCGAGGATCCGGCGACACGACAGGCTACAGTAATCTCGTTGTCCCAACCCCTTATTGAGTAAAAGAAGAAGACTTGATATGAAGTAGAACGTGTATTCTACAAGCATCCAGAAAGTACGTAGTCTGAGTCCAGAAGAGAATCAGGATCCCGGACTGAGGATCCGGGTAATAAAACGTTACAGATAATGCATATATTTACAAAGTTAGGTCGAGAAGGAAACAACATTTGAAGTTTGTGACATTGATAGTTAGGACGATCAATAGGAATTGATCAATAGAATTAGACTTACAAACAAAATTATCTTAGGATATTAGATGAATATCCTAACAGTGAGGAATTCAAAACATTAGAATTTAGGAGAACACAAAGAGAATGAATGCACCTGTGCTATCGCGCAAACAATTTTTTGAGCCACGTCATTCTAATTCAGTAGGCGTTAGTTACCTACCCAATGGTAAACATAAGTCAATCAGTCAGCTACAGTGTAGAACTTCGGACGTGCCTACGCACATTGGTTCAAGTTGTCATAAACACCAAATTAGCACACACACAGACAGATGCAATTAAACTATGAAAATACTAGCACACAAATAACAAAGATTTGCTGTTTATAAGACATGAGTCAATGATGAATGAAACTTTGCATTCTTCTCTTCTGTTCTCTCTCTCTCTCACACACACACACACACACTTCACTGACCACAGCATAACTTACCTAGCAAGCATACATGCTTTTAAAAAGGCTTCTTTTTGTTCAGCATGTTTTGAGGATAATTGAGCTAAATAACTTATTGGATCACCACTATTGACCGCCTTTTCATTTTGACACCAATCCTCTTCACGACGATATTCTTTTTCTAGTGACCATAACACTGAAGTCACTTGATCCGATGTTCGATACCTGGGAAAAGTTGAACAGAGAGAGAAAGAGAGAGAGAGAGAGTAATGTGAAACTTTTTTTTTCCAAAAAATGAAAAATTCTCAGAAACAAAGGAAGATTATCACAAAATGAAACGGAATACACAGAGGAAAAATGGATTGGTAACAAGTGATTATAGTACACACAACGATGAGAAGCCTATATCATACACAATTTGAAAAGGTGATATTATTTAACGCATAAATCGGTCAATGTTAGACCACTATTAGATACATGGAAGCACTGAAAGATGACCGCTTCGTCCTAATACGGGACTCATCAACAGTGCACATACACGACCCCATCTTCGGGAGTCGAACTCTGGACCCTCGGTCTTGCGCGTGAACGCCTGACGTCTGGACCATTGAGCCAAAATCCAACAGTGTTAATTAATGTCTATCGTCGATCTATCCATGGTCTTGTACAACCGTATTCATTGGCCTTGACGGGCACTGCTTCACATCGAAACGACCATCCAGTGCTTCCAGGTTTCTCCACTTGTGACCTAACATTGATCGATCGATTCATGATTATAATGAAACCCAACAATCTCCACAACCTACCTTATAATGAACAAATATGATATCTTCATTAAATGCCCTATTAAAATCGAACTTTGTCAGAGCAAGAGAGGGAAGAATGTTGAAAATGTTAAACAGTCGATAGTACTACTACAAAGGATTAGCAACTAACAAATGTTTTAATTTACACTAACATCGTACTTTTTTAAAAAAAATTTCAATCTATCAGCATTTGTAAGTTAACATTTAGACACATAGGTGGATAGGACACACGTTGAGGAAAGCACCTAACTATATCATATAGCAAACCTTCATTTGGGATACTTAAAGTTAAATGACAAGAAGGAAGGCCAGTGAACAACAGATTACGCCAAGCGATTGGAAACAGACATCGAAAGAATGAACAGTAATTGTCGTGGACAGAGTAGGTTGGAAAATACTGATTGACAGCCTATGCTGGCATTAGTAAATAAGTAGGTAGGTTATAAACACAAACCTGAAAATTTATGAAAGTAAAATAAAATTAGATGAAATCAAATTTTTTTCAATTAAACTCTACCATTTCAATTCAATGAACTCTAGAACAACAAATGGAGAAACACATTCCTTACTAACTAACTGACTATATCAGTCAGTAGTCAGTTACAATGTAGAACTTCATACGTTAGCATATCAGTCCAGACGTTTTACTGCTAATGGAGAAGATTACGATTTGAAGATATTATTCAAGATGTATAATCTAGTGAAATAAACTTAGAAACAGGAAGACATAGGACAAAAGCTATCATTCAGAATATACAAGTGTTTATTAACAGTTGTCTATGCAAAATACTTCGGATTCGTTGGCCAGACACCATCAGCAACAATGTACTGTGGGAGAGAACGAACAACACCGCAGTGGAGGAGGAAATCAGGAAGAATCTGTGCAGTTGGTGGATAGGACACACACTACGAAAAGCACCTAACTGCGTCACAAGACAAGCACTCACATGGAACCCTCAAGGTAAAAGGAAAAGAGGAAGGCCAAAGTACACACTACCTCGAGAAATAGAGAAAGATATGAGAGGAATGAACAAACATTGGACAGAACTGGAAAAGGAAGCCCAGGACAGAGTTGGTTGGAGAAAACTGGTGGGCGGCCTATGCTCCATTAGGGGTAACAGGCATAAGTAAGTAAGTAGGTAAGTAAGTAAGACATAGATGATGAGGAATTCAGGAGGTTAGAATGTGAAACAATACACCTGCGCCATTGCAAACGATTCCGAGCCATGTCGTTCAAGATCTCTATCCATCAATGACTTTCGTCTCGCTGACCCCCAACCAGGTGGTAGTCGACACCTATCAACATGGCTCATAATCCACTTGTCAGTGATTTCATGAATTTGTGACATGTTTTCGTTTGGCCAACCCCCCCCCCCCGCCTTAGATTTCTTCCAATCTACTGTGACTATATATATATATATATATAACATTCATGTTCTCAGAGTAATAGGGGATTAGGGCAAAAGAGTTGGGAAAAAAAGAGTAAAAATAAATCTACTCTCTGTCTCTATCTGAATAACAATCAAATAGTATCCTCCTTTTTTTAAAAATATACATTTTACGTGATTTAAAGTAATAATAATAATACTATTTTATTGATAGAGGTTAACGTGATGGAATTTTTCTTCACGACTGTTGTCAATTTATCTGTATGTGATACTGCACACACACACACGCACACACAAAATAGAACATTCTATAAATAGATAAGTAGATATGTGTTCATTTGTTCTTTTCTTCAGCATCTTCATCATCATCATCATCTTCTTCCAGGGTAAGAAAAAAACTTTTCTATTATTCATGATCAAAAAACTCGTGACTATAATAAAATATTGTTAGCTAGATAGCTAGCCAGCCAGCTAGTGTAGTAGTAGTAAGTACTGCTACTGATTACTACTGCTATTGAATATGGCGCCATATTCTCTTTAATAATAATAATAATAATGATTCATATAGGTCAGAAATTGAGATAGCCAACCAATTAGAATGAATGATAGTTATAGGTTAAGAGAGAGAAAGAGAGAGAAGCACTTACTAACTACTGCTACTACTATTAGTAGTAGTATTACCATTACTACTACCACCATCAAACAAGCCACAAACTAGTAATTATTATTTTAATAATATAAACAAGTAAACAAGTGAAAATGTTTTATGTGTAAAAGTAGGCAAAGTAAACAAATAACAAGGAAAAAAACTCAATACTAAAACACTAGCGTTTTGGATATATGTCAACTACCTGGTTGGGGTCAGCGAGACGAAAATCACTAATGGTTAGAGACCTTGATTGACATGGCTGAAAATCGTTTGCAATGGCGCAAGTGCATTGATTCGTTGAGCTCTCTCAAATCCTAATCTTCTGGATTCGTCAGCACATCTGCCCTTGTCTTTCTAACCTTATCTTACTGAGTTATACTTTTTGAATAATATCTTCAAACCCGCTAGTCTTCTTCATAACCATTAATACCTCTACTATGTTTATCACTATGGGATTCGATTTGACATTTGCGTCTCTGTGCTAATGTAGTGGTATGGCAACATGAACTTATGTGTACATACGTACGAAGTTCTACGTTGCAACTGACTGACTGACTGACTGGCATTTTGGGTACGTAGACGCACAAACACAAAAGATGAACATTGTCACTGTAGTTACTCAGAATAGAAGGGCTATAACAGTGCAAATGAAAATAACCACGTGTGTCAGAGAAAGAGAATTCTCAAACGGATCAGTAATAATAATAATCATAATCATTGATAGATGAAATACATTTCATCTGGCTTCTCTACTAGGGGCTAATAATCCTTGAAAAAAAAACACTACAGATTTGAAAACACTATAAGATCTGAGTGTGGAGCAACAATAAATTGATTGCAACGCTTCGAATTCGTCTTCCGAATTGTATACACCATCAGGTATTATCTAGTAACAGTTTTCAAGACGAGCAGTATACGAAGTCTAAGGAACTATATATCGAATACTGACCAGATAGACAGATAAAACACAGAACTTCATACGTAAGTACATCAGTTCAGGTTACCATACCACGACATTAGCACAGAGATGCAACTGTCAGTTCAATTTCTATAGTGATAGCAATAGTAGAACTATTAGCAGTAGTAATGTAGAAAATTAGGGCTCGATGATATGATTTGAGAACTATAGTTCAATGTGATAAATTTAGAAAGAGAAAAATAGAAATGATCAGCAATTCAGAAGGATAGAATTTGAGAGAACACAACGAGTGAATGCACTTCCGTCACTGAAAACGATTTTGAGCTATGTCATTCAAAGTCTCTAACCATTGGTGACTTTCGTCTCGCAGACCCCGACCAGGCATTCTGCATCTACCAACATGACTAAGTCCAGTTGTCAGTGATCTCTCATGGACTTCTGCCATGTTTTGGTTTGGCCACCCTCGAATACTGACCGCCACAGAACTGGTGAGCCCACATTCACCACAAGATCACACACTCTAAATGACACAAAAAATTTAAACTTTGAGAAAGTTTAAACAAAATCCGTTAAATGTTTGAAAGATTAATTCCGCAACAGAATTGTTAGAAAGATATGAGAATGAGCTTTTTTTGGTTGTACAACACAAATTTAAATTTTTGTTACGTAGGACCCCGCCCACATGATTTATCCAATAAAAAAAACATGTTTATACAGTCTTTTTCTTATGTTTGATATTGGTTTATTTCAACAATCGATGTGTCGTAATATTGTGCCACATTAGATATCTGATCATGAAAACTAAACTAGGAACTATCATTCGATTAAATGTCAACAATGACAACTAATGGAACAAACCTGTGAAGAAATTAAAATGGACAAACATTATTCGTTTTTTTTAACGACAGAAGTGTTTTGCTACTTTACTGAAATGCCCTAAATAAGAAATAATCCCTTGTTGTTTCTTCCCTTTGAGTTTACAGTAACTGGGTTGAATTGCCAATCTTGAAGTAACATTTTGTATTTCGGGGGTGAGAACCGCATCCCGAACAGGCTTGCATTGTTGCTTAGATGGGTAGTCAGAAGACTCTGCATTTTGCCAGCGTCTTCACCGAATAGAACTATGTCATCGGCATATTCTAGATCAGTAAGCGAATTTCCTGGTAGAAGGTCAACCCCTGAAAAATCTGACGAGCTTATAGAGGATGTCGACGACAAAGTCAAACAAGAATAGAGAGAGTGGACAGCCCTGACGGACACCACTTGAAGTGAAGAATTGCAATGACAGTTCGCCATATGCTCTCACTCGACCAGTAGTGTTCGAGTAAAGGGCTTGTATGAGGTTAATGTACTTCTTTGGTACACCTTTCAATGACAGACACTGACACAGAACCTCACGATCTACTGAGTCAAATGCCGCTTTTAGGTCCAGGAAAACAACTATTGTAGGACGCCTCAATGTGTGTCTGTGTTGCAGGACCTGTCGTAGTGTGAAGATGTGGTCTATACAGCCACGTCCATGTCTGAAACCAGATTGGTTTTCTCTAGTCCACTCTTCAAGAGCTCTTCTAGTTAGACGTCTACGGATAATTGAGGCTAACAATTTAGAAACTATAATGGTTAGACTTATTCCTCTGTGATTGTCACAAGAAGACTTTTGTCCTTTCTATGTATGTACATCAGTTCAAGTTGCCATACCATATTAACAAACGAAGATACAATTGTCAATACAAATACGATTGTAGTAATGGAGAAGATTACAGTTCGAAGAAATTATTCAAAAATTATAATCCAGTGAAATAAATTTGAGAAGAGAAATATGAAGCTCATAAAGAATTCAGAAGAGATTAAGATTTAACTGAACACATAGAATCGATACACCTGATGAACTACTGCAAACCATTTTTGAGCCATATCACATTCAAAGTCTCTAACCATAAAAAAAAAAAAACACGTTGCTAATATCCCACCAAAAATCCATCACATCAGACTCAGCTCATCCTACTTGCGAATTTCACCATATCGACAATATCCACTAGTCATAAAGTAAGCAGCACTACGGCTAAACCGTGTTCCCGTTGGGGATGTTAGATCCCCAAAACTCGCTTGTTAAATGCCTTATCTTGGATTTCACGTTTGCGAACATGGGCTGATCAGTTGACCTTGAGATTTTATTTCCCACAAGGAAAATCCATGGCTGCGATTGGCTGCTGTGTATTTTAGTGTGCTATTTTCTTAACTGTCCAAAGGACGTTTCTATAATCTATAAAGAAACGAAGCCTTCTGTTTACAGCTTAGGATTCAAAGTAGCCTATCTGGACGCTGGTGAACTCGTAATAGCTTCAAGCGTACCTAGTGACGAACATAACAGTTCCCTTCAGAAAAAAAAACTAAAACTGCGCTAAACACACTGGTAACACAAACAAATGATGCGTGAAACCGCACATAGGAATCATTCTATCTAATATAAAATGTGAAAATAATCGGCGGAAAAACCAAAAAAAAACAAAACACTCAAACAACACAACTCATACTCACCAATTCGTTGCAGAGATCAATAGCTTATGACGTTCTTCAGCAGCATAGACTAATTTTTGCCAACGATTTGCTACAGTCTCCGCTACTGATTGATAATCTTTACGTCTGGAATAATATTCATTATTATTATTATTATTACTATTATTAGTATTATTATTTAATAGATTTCCATGTCCCATGATATTGGTTGATGAATTGGTACTACTACTATTATTACTAGTAGTACTAGTATTACTAGTATTACTATTAATACTACTATTACAATTCAATGTAGCTTGTTGTAAGAAATAACTAGCACGTGCAGCACATTGTACAGCTTGTGGATGTGCATCATTTAAAACTGGTTGAAATTTTTCATGATCAGCATAAAGTGATTCAGCTTCAGTTAAACTAGATGGTATAATAGCTGTTTGATGTAGTATACTTTCACATTGACCAATCCAATGTAATACCTAGTGTTGTTGTTTTTTGAAATAAGTGAAAAAGAAAGTGAATTAGTCAGTAAATATTGTCAAGAATTTATGTGAAATTATAACATTATGATATAGTAAATAGATAAAAAAAGGTTTGATTGAGTGTTGCCAACCTACGACACTTACGGAAAAGTCAAGATATCCATTTGAATAAACAAATGGTCGAATGTACTGCGAAGCAGATTGCTTCATCCTACTATACGGATGCGAAACATGGCCTGAGAGAGTGGAGGGCATCCGCAGATTGTTTGTCTTCGATCACAGGTGTCTCCGAAGCATTGCTTATATTTCCCGGGACAACCGAGTAAGCAATGCTGTTATTAGGAAACGAGTACTAGGTAAAGAAGGCAGATCAATAGATGAAGTAATGAAACTTCATGAGTTGAGGTGGTTGGGACATGTGTTACGTATGCCTAAACACCGACTGCCTCGACGAGCGATGTTTTGTGGTGTAGGAGTAGGTTGGAAGAAAGTTAGGGGCGACCAGACTAAAACATGTCACCAATCCATAAACTCATTGACAAGTGGACTGCATCATGTTGGTAGGTGTAGGCTGCCTGATTGGGGGACCACGAGACGAAATTCACTGATAGATAGAGACCTTGAACGACATGGCTCAAAATCGTTTACCATGGCCCAGGTACATCCACTTTTTGTGTTCTCTCAAATCCTAATCTTCTGGACTCGTCAACACCTCTACCTTAGTCTTTCTAAGTTTATCTCACTTAATTATACTTCTGGAATTATATTTTCGAATCCTAATCTTCTGCATTACCGCTAATTCTTCTAACATCTCCACCATTATGGGATTTGAACTGACAGTTTTGCCTCTGTGCTAAAGTAATATGGCAATCTCAACTTATATGCGCACGTACGAAGGAAGCTCTACGTTGTAACTGACTGACTGATTTAGTCAGTTAGTTAGTTAGTTAGTGAATGTGTTTGTCCACTTGTTTTGAATGAAATCTCATACGCCTGGGTTGCACAAATGAGCGACTATCTAGACTCAGTAGCAGCTGTTGAGTGGATAAACACGATGATATTTGAAACAAACGATACTGGGGTTTAAATCTCGTCAATTGATCTGCCATACTTACCTAGCACTATTTTCCTAACAACTGTATTGCTTACTCGGTGGTCCCATGATACACGAGCAATGTGTTTCAGAGAATCCGATAGGCGAATACCAGTAAACTACAAATAACCTCACTTCTTAGTGGCCATGTTTCGCATCCATAGAAAAGGACGTAGTAAACTGCTACGCAGTAAAACCATCTTTTGGTTGGATATCCCGCTTACACCCCTAAATAGCATTATTCCAAATTAACATCGATCTGCTTAAAAATTTAAGCTACCTGTCTCCTAACAATCAAGTTACCACTCTCCACATTTTATTATACCACTTCACTTATGTCTAATCAAATTAATTGCATAATGTATTCCAATGAGTGGTATATATCAAACGTTTAAAAGCTATCAGCTTCATACAACCACAAAGAAGCACAATCCAACACAGAACATGGTGGCAGACAATCTGTCGAAAGAAAAATCAGTGTTGTAGATCTCCTGAACTGCTTTACCTCACAATTATTGCCAATCATCAACAGAGAGAGAGAGACAGATACAACGCGGAACTTCGTACGTAAGTAAGTACATCAGTTCAGGTTGCCATACTAGCACATCAGCACAGAGACGCAACTGTCAGTTCACATCCAACAGTGATATAGCAATAATAGAAGTAGTAGTAGTAGTAGTAGTAATGAAGAAGATTAGGGAGCGAAGATATAATTTGAGAAGTATTATTGGGAAAAAAGAAGCAGGTAACAGAGACAAACACAACGATAATAATAATCGCATCATGAGAAAATTTCATTCACGAAATAAGAATACGCACACACACACACACAAATGATCAACAAAAAATTCTTGTTTGAGGAGAAAAAAACAACGACGATAATAACAACAACAACAACACGAAATAATGTAATTGACCATTTGGAATTAATGATATATATATATATTTAACGAGAGAGAGAGAGAGGGAGAGACAATATAGTGAAATATAGCAAAGTACCATAAACTTCGTTTTTTGTTTCATCTTCAAAATCGATGGTTAGACTAATTTGCTTCACATTGTCTACAACCAGTAGACAAGATAGGACTGACTGACTGAGTGACCACTACCACTACTACTACTACTCCTGCTACTACTACTAATGAGAGTTAGTTTTATGTTCTTTTGTGTTCCTCTAACACATAAAAGATACCGTGAAGTAGGGCAGCGACGGACTACTATTTTCTTGACGCATACAGAAAACAAATAAACACTGGTTAGTTAGTGAAGTAAATCAAATAAGCTAAAATTGGTTAGCATTTTATTATGCTGTTGTTGTTGAAAACAAAGACAGAATGCATAGTACGAAAAAAAAAGACGGAACACATGATATATGTTTGTTCTAAATATATCTGAAGTTTATGCTGACGATGTTGGTACTGTTGCTGTTGTTGTTAAAGGAGAACAATGAAAACTCCATAATCAAAACATCCACAGCTTTCTCCATTCTTCTTTAATTTTATCATAGACATGCTCCTAGAAATAACCTTATCCTCATCTGAATTTTCAGGAGTAGACCTTCTACCAGGTGGCTTGCTATGGACTTAGAATATGCCGATGACATTGTCCTACTTGGTGAAGATGCACACAAAATGCAGTCTTCTGACTACCATAAGCAACAATGCAAGCATGTTCGGGATGCGGTTTTCCCCCTCGAAATGCAAAATGTTGTTTCAAGACTGGGTTGCATCGGCACCTGAACTAGTGATAGGGAGTGAAGTAGTCGAACGTGTAGACCGCTTCACTTATCTTGCGAGTCTCATCAGTGCCGATGGCCTGGTGACTGACGAAATCTCAGCTCGGATACAGAAAGCTCGATTAGCTTTTGCCAACTTACGCCGTTTATAGCGTAGGCGTGATATCCGTTCTCTAATCAAAGGACGAGTGTACTGTGCAGCAGTTCGCTCCGTTCTCCTATATGGCTGTGAAACATGGCCAGTCAGAGTAGAAGATATTCGTAGGTTACCGGTTTTCGATCATAGGTGTCTTCGAAGCATTGCTCGTATATCGTGGGACACCCGAGTGAGCAACGCTGTTATTAGGAATCGGGTGCTAGGTAAGAATGGCAGATCAATAAATGAAGTGCTGAAACTTCATCAGTTGAGGTGGTTGGGACATGTGTTGCGTATGCCCAACCACCGACTGCATCGACGAACTTTGTTTTCTAGTTTAGGAATAGGTTGGAACAAAGTTAGAGGCGGCCAAACCAAAACATGGCAGAAATCCATGAAGTCACTGACAAGTGGACTGCATCATGTCAGCAGATGTAGACTACCTGGTTGGGGTCGGCGAGACGATAGTCACCAATGGAAAGACCTTGAACGACATGGCTCAAAATCGTTCGCAATTGCGCCGGTGCATTTATTCTTTGTGTTCGCTCAAATCCTAACCTTCTGGATTCTTCAACAACTCTAGTTTTGTATTTCTAAACTTTTCTCATTCAATCATACTTCTTGAATAATATCTTCTAATCCTGACCTCTCCGGTTACTTCTAATTCCCTTACTACCTCTACTACTATTGGATTTGAATTGACAATTATATCTCTGTGCTAATGTGGTATGGCAACATGAACTGATGTACTACTTATGTACGAAGTTCTACGTTGCATCTGACTGACTGATGTCATATACATTAATGTCCGAAATGTGGATATTCATTGTAAAGGTTACATAATTCCAGGACCATCTTCATGAAATTAATGCTATATTAACCAGACTATAGTGGTCTCTGTAGCAATAGCACTCTACGCCTACAACGCAAAACGCAAGATCCTCTGATACTACAATACAACATGAGATAACAAAATCACACTTGATGCAGAAGTTTTGGAGGATTTAGAAACGTTCACATATATCGAATGCTTCATTGATGAACGGAACGAGGTGGATCTGATGCAAATGTAAAGATACGGATTAGCTAACCATGAGCATCATTTCACAATTAAACTAACTTAAAACAACCGTCAACAAACACCAAAGTCACAATATTCAATACGAACGTCAACACAGTTCTAATGTATGGAACGGAAACGTGGAGAAACACGAAAACCATTACCCATAATATACAAGTGTCTATCGACACTTGTCTACGTATGATACTTCGGATACGTTGGTCAGACAACATCAGCAATAACCTACTACTGTGGGAGAGTACAAACCAGCTACCACTGGCTGGAGCTGGATAGGACACACATCGAGGAAATCACTTTAACTGTAGCCCATAGCAAGCCCTCACTTTGAATCTTCAAGCTTAAAGGAAAAGAGGACGACTAAAGAACATATTACGCCGAGAATCGGGAACAGACAAGAATAAAATTAACAACAATTATCTACAATTGTAAAGGAAAGCTGAGGACAGAGTAGGTTGCAGAATGCTGGTGCAGCAGCAACATAGTGGTTAATAAGGTTCAGCTTTCGGACACTAAGCCATTGGTTCAAATCCAGATGGCTGTTTCACTGGCTTTCAGCCGTATCATCATCATCATCATCATTAGCGTTCGCATACACATAGAATCCGACCGACAACATAACAATATCGAGTTGAATGATTGGTAATCATCCTTACTTACTTACTTACTTACGCCTGTTACCCCCAATGGAGCATAGGCCGCCCACCAGATTTCTCCAACCAACTCTGTCCCGGGTTTCCCTTTCCAGTTCCGTCCAATGTTTGTTCATTCCTCTCATATCTTTCTCCATTTCTCGGCGTAGTGTGTTCCTTGGCCTTCCTCTTTTCCTTTTACCTTGAGGGTTCCATGTGAGGAATCGTCTTGTGACGCAGTTAGGTGCTTTTAGTAATGTGTGTCCTATCCACTTCCACCGCTTCTTCCTGATTCCTCCTCCACTGGAATCTGGTTTGTTCTCTCCCACAGTTCGTTGTTGCTGATGGTGTCTGGCCAACGAGTCCGAAGTATTTTGCGTAGACAACTGTTAATAAACACTTGTATCTTCTGGATGATGGCTTTTGTCGTAGTTCTCCAAGTTTCCACTCCACACAGTAGAACAACTGCCTTGACATTTGTATTGAATATCCTGGTTTTGGTTTCGATAGAAAGTTGTTTGGAGTTCCAGATACTTTTCAACTGTAGAAATGCAGCCCTCGCTTTGCATTATCATCCTCTATGAATATACATTTTAATCACTGCTATGTTTTTTTCTTTTCCGAATAAGACTAAATTTGTTTACAATGAAATTACTAGTTAAAAAAAAATAAACTACACCATTTATGAACTGTTGTGCGTGACGATGATATATGTTTTGTAATTTTACTGGATAATAATAATAATAATAATAATAATAATAATAATCAACATTAATGATTGGAATTATGAAAATTTATCAATTACAATGATTGCCAACAATTGTCATTACCAAAAATACTAATAATACTACTAATAACTGTATCAAATATGTATGTAACATAACATAACAAACACATTGTGACCAAATGTGTATCTATCAACTTGTATAGAGAGAGAGAGAGAGTTATAATTAGCTTAGATAATCAATCGATCAGTTTATGTAGGAGTGTTTCATTACTTTAGAACACAAAACACCTTGAGAAAAATAAAAGCCTGGAGTATGAATGAAGTGCAGGTTACACTTGTTAATAATCTAACAGTTTGAAACATAAAAGTGTTTTTATTATTAGGCAATAGATCAACTTTTTTTCAATTAGAGCACACGATTCCTAATAACAGCGTTGCTAACTCGAGTGTCCCAGGATATACGAGCAATGCTTCGAAGACACCTATGATCGAAAACCAATAACCGATGAATATCTTCTACTCTCAATGGCCATGTTTCACAGCCATAAAGTAAGACGGAGCGAACTACTGCGCAGTACACTCGTCCTTTATTCAGCAAACGGATATCTTGCCTACGCCATAAGTGACGCAGGCTGTCAAAAGCCAATCGAGCCTTCTGTATCCGTGCTGAGATTTCGTCGGTCACCAGGCCATCGGCACTGATGAGACTCCCCAGAAAAGTGAAGCGGTCTACACGTTCGACTAGGGAGTGAAGTAGTCGAACATGTAGACCGCTTCACTTATCTTGGGAGTCTCATCAGTGCCGATGGCCTGGTGACCGACGAAATCTCAGCACGGATACAGAAGGCTCGATTGGCTTTTGCCAACCTGCGTGAGAGATGAAAACGCACGGATGCACCTACGCTAGTTAATCTAGTTAAAGGGGAAAAAAACATCAACTACTCTATTACAATATTACTTAACCATTGTCGAACATACACATATACATATATATACTAAAAATAAAATAGAAATAATAATTTACCTGTCTACTTTGTAATTGAAGACGACGCCAATCTAATTCATTATTTAAACGTTCATTCAGCAAATCCACGGATGTGACAACATCAGCTAATTCACTCATTAAACGATGTACACGTTCTACAGCAGTCTCTACACTATCACCCATACCTGAATCACTAGAACCTGGACCACCTGTTTTTTTTTTTAGTTAAAAGAAATAAAAATTAAAATTAATCAACAACAAAAAACGATCATCTATCTATACATAGAATAGTACTACTACTAATAATAATAGAATTTTATTTTTGGATTTTTTTCAGGTGTAATAAGAGAAACATTTAGAACTCTCAAAATACAATTATTATTTGTCAACCGACGACACCAAAGTAAGAATTATCAATACATAATATGTCAAGACAGTCACGTGGAAACTTGGAAAAACCGTAAAGGCTATCAACTAAAAGATACAAGTATTTATTAACAGTTTTCTACGCAAAAAAAAAACTTTGGATCTGTCTGTCAGACACCATCAGTAACAACCTACTGTGGGGGAGAACAAATCAGATTCCAGTGGATGAATAAATCAGGAAGAAGCGATGGAAGTAGATAGAACATACATTGAAGAATGCATGCAGCTGCGTCATTAGACAAGCCCTCACTTGAAGTCTCTGCAACCAAAGGAGAGGAAAGCCTACGAACACATTACGTCGAGAAACGGAGACAGATATGAAGAGCATAAACACCGATTAGGTGGAACTGGAAAGGAATGCTTAGGAGAGGGTAGGTTGAAGAATGCTGGTCGTTAAACCCATGCTCAATTATGGGTGATAGGAGTAATTAAGTTAGTCAATTAGAGAATATGGATTATCATTGTATAGATTCATAATTCCGATGAAACTCAACAATTCTCACAAAGCTATACTGATAAAAATTATCATGTAGTCATCAGTGACTAGCTCCGTGAAGAAATTCTTTACAATTCTAGTGAAAAGCTGTGATCAGTGAAGACAATGGATGATGGACGAGCAATATCATGGATTAGTTAAAGTTAGAGACGTTAACTCCAATGAATGCGGATTTATTGATCAAGAGGTTGAGCAGCACCTGCCCAAGAGATCGAAGATCCTGGGGTTCGATTCCCTGTAGGTAAGTTCGTGGATGTGCACTGTGCACTGTGTACACTGATCAGTTCACCATTTCAATCAATTTCAATCAACCTCTCCAACGTTATATTGATGATAATAATAATCAGTTCCTTGATGGACTCAATTCAAGACATCTTCTCAGAGAGATCGTAACTAGTGGAGTTCACTATCAATGTTGGGAATAAAATAATTCCCAATGAGATTAGATGACCATTACATTACAGCATACAGTAGTGAATCAACTTCAAAGGCGACAATAAGCTAATGCTTTCTTTGATAGTTAAGTGTTTGATCAGTGAAACTTGAAGCCTTAATGTGTTTAATTCTTGTTAGAATCGTGGATGCACACTACTACAAATTTTCATATCAGAACGAAATAACTGTCTTGTGCTTCCTACAAACCTCAAATGGAACCAATCTTCACATAAAGCTCCTCTTCAATGAAACAAAATACACTAGTTTTAAAGATAACGATATTTAAAACCACAGATCTAACAGTTCCATCGTAATTCACTAACCTGCTGGGAAATTCACACCGACTGATTCAAATGCTCTGGCTAATTCACTACCTTTATTTAATACTTCTTCAGCTGTTGGCAAAACAGACAAACATGAACTTAACACTTCTTCAATAGAATTCATATCTGGTGCTTGTCTAGGATCAGCTAACCAAAAATAACGATTATTAGTAGTATTATTAGTAGTAGTGTTAGTAGTAGTATCAGGAGATTGATTGACGCTAGATAATGATGGGATATTATGACGTAAACAATCTAAAGCAGAATGAACATCTGCTTCAAATAGTCTAAGTTGAAGGCATAAATCTAAGCGTACTTGACGTTCAGTTAATAGTGTTGAGACAGTTGCTCGTTCATTGGAAACCTAAAAGTAAGAAAAACACATTTTTTTAAAAAGTGTCAAATGTGTACAGCTTTACAGTTGTTCTGGGTGTTTGTGTTTCAACAGGCGAACGAAAACACATTCAGAACTGAATAAATATGAGTAAGTATTTCTCGACCTTAAAGCATCACTTGACTCTGTGGATCGTGAGGTTCTGTGGCAGTGTCTGTCATTGAAAGGCGTACCACAGAAGTACAAAATAATCTTATACAAGCTATCTACTCAAACGCTATTGGTCGACTGAGAGCATATAACGAACTGTCATCAGAATTCATTACTTCAAATGGTATCCGTTTATTTGGAGAAGACACTAACAAAAATGCCAAGTCTTCTGACTACCCTAAGCAATAATTCAAACATCTTCAGGATGCGATTTTAAGGATTAGCATGCATGGGCACTTAAACTAGTGAACGATAGTGAAGCAGTTGAGCGTGTTGACTGCTTCACTTAGCTTCGGAGTCTCACTAGTGCTGATGGCTTGGTGGTGGCTGACGAAAGCTCAGCACGAATTTTATTAGATGTAGACTAAGTTGTTTGCGATTCGCCTGACAATTGCATCTGTCTGTGCTAATGAAGTATGCGCAACATGAACTTATGCACATAGGTATGAAGTTCTACGTTGTAACTGATTAACTGACGAAAACACAATCAGAACTAAATAAGTATGAGATAGTTTCTAAGTAAATGATATCTTAATTGTTAGGATATTCATCCAATATCCTAAGAGAATTATTGGTCAATTCCTATTGATATCAATGTCACGTGCTCCAATGTTGTTTATTTATTGGTTGTCCTGACTATCAATGTCACTTCAAATGTTGCTTCCTATTGATCGTCTTAACTGTCAATGTCACAGACTTCGATGCTGTTTCCTATTCGACCAAAATGTATAAATGCGCATTATCTGTAACGTTTTATGACCAGGACCCGGTCCAGGATCCCTAGTCCGGGATCCTGAATGTCTTCTGGATTCGGACCTTGTACTTTCTGAATGCTTGTAGAATACAGGTTCTCCTTCATATCATGTCTTCTTATTTTTACTCAATAAAGGGGTTGGGATAATCAGATTTGAGTAGCATGTCGTGTCACTGGATCCTCGCTCTCGTTTTTCCGACTAGGTAAACTCGTAACATAGTTCAAGTATATCAAGTTGACGTGTTTACATACAGGCGTAACAATAATAATAAATAAACTTACTTGATTTAACACTGTACGTAAATGTGTAATCTCTTCAGAATCTTTCAATCGACTTATTAAAGCTTCACCTTCAGCTAAAGCACGTTCAACATCTTTTTCCATTGCAGCACGATTACGATGAAAACTAGTCAATTCATCTTCCATGCCTTCAATGGTAGCTGGTAAATATTCACTTGGATTATGTGTTTCACGTGAATTATGCAACCATGCTAAAGCTTCTTTTGTATGTGAATAAAAACCACAGCCTAAATCCAATGTTTCACGGCGTACTTCAACAGCACGTGTAAACGCTGAAATACGATGTTGTAATTCACTAGCATCCTATGACAAAAACACAATGAGAATAATGAGAATACTAATCATAATATTAATTTGGAAAGAGAGAAGCGTTTATTCAAGAAAAAAAGAGATTGCATAATAACGGCGGAAATAAATGTCATAATACTAAGTGTACTACTAAGTGTACAGAGGAATATACACACTGAGTAGTGAATAATGTCTGCGACAAGTTTAATTGTTCAAACTCACTAGATAGATGATATATTAGACACCATATTTTTTCTGCTATATACATGTGAGACTGATTGATGTGCACTACTCACTGGTATTAGGGGGCACTTGGATAGAAAGAATTATTGATGCTTAGACACTTAAACACTGCTTAAAATGAAACATATATGTTGTACCTAGTTGAGTTGAGTTGTAATTATTCCCCCAAAAAACAGTGTATAACACATATCACTGGATTAGACTTCTTGAATCATCTAATTAGATCCTAATACATCATCTCTATTAGTGTGAACATTTGTAGTAGCAGTACTACTTAAAAAGGATTTAAATGGAAAATTCTACCTGTGGTATGGAAAAATTGAATTATTGCATGTACGTACACATCATATGCATATAACAATTGATAAAGTATTGAAACTTTATCAGTTGAGATGGTTCAGACATGTGTTACGTATTCCCAACCACCGACTATCTCGATAAGCGATGATGCACGTATAGAGGGGTAGGGTTGGAAGAAAGCAAGGGATGGGCAAATCAAAACATGACACAAATCCATGAAGTTATTGACAAGTAGTGGACTGAGTCATGTTGGTAGATGTAGACTGCCTTGGTTGGGCTCAGTGAGATGATGGTGACCGATGGTTGAAGACCTTAAACGACATGGTTTAAAATCGTTTGCACTGGTGCAGATGCATCCATTTGGTGTCTACTCTTAAATCCTAATCTGTTGAATTTCTCATCACCTTTACCTTTGTCTTTTTTTTTAAATTTATTTCACTGGATTATACTCTTTGTAAAATATAGTCTAAACCTTCATCTTCTCCATTACTACTCATACTTCTACTACCGCTACTACCACTATAGGATTTGAATTGACAATATTGCATCTCTGTGCTAATGTGATATGACAACTTGAAGCAATGTACGTACGTACGTACATACGTACGAAGTGCTATGCTGTAATTGACTGACTGACTGACGTACATATATCAAGTTCCACATTGTACCACCTCACATGCCGAGTCTTATATTGATTGATCACAGAGTCAGTCAGTTGCAACGTAGAACTACGTACGTATGTACATAAGTTCAGGAGGTTGTCACACTACATTAGCACAGAGATGCAAATGTCAAATCAAATCCCATAGTGATAAAGATAGTAGAGGTATTAATGTTAATAAAGAAGACTAGGGTTCGAAGATATTATTCAAGAAATATAATTCAGTGAGGTAAGGTTATAAAGACAAAGGTAGAGGTGCTGACAAATCCAGAAGATTAGGATTTGAGAGAGCTCAACAAATGGATGCACTTGCGCCATTGCAAACGATTTTGAGCCATGTCGTTCAAGGTCTCTAACCACAGACAAAGGTAGAGGTGCTGACAAATCCAGAAGATTAGGATTTGAGAGAGCTCAACAAATGGATGCACTTGCGCCATTACAAACGATTTTGAGCCATGTCGTTCAACGTCTCTAACCATTGATGACTTTCGTCTCGCGGACCCCAACCAGGTAGTCGACAACTACCGACATGACTCAGTCCACTTGTCAATGACTTCATGGATTTCTGCCATGTTTTTGTTAGGTCGCCTCTAACTTTCTTCCAACCTTCTCCTACACCACAAAACATCTCTCGTCGAGGCAGTCGGTGGTTCGGCATACGCAACACATGTCCCAACCACCTCAACTGATGAAGTTTCACTACTTCATCGATTGATCTGCCATCCTTGCCTAGTACTCGTTTCCTAACGACAGCATTGCTTACTCGGCTATCTCACGATAAACGAGCAATGCTTCTTAAGCATCTATGATCGAATACTAGTAACCTACGAACATATTCTACTCTTAACGGCCATGTTTCACAGCCATATAAGAGAACGGAACGAACTGCTGCGCAGTACACCCGCCCTTTGGTTAGCGAACGGATATCACGCCTACGCCATAAGTGACGCAGGTTGGCAAAAACCAATCGAGCCTTCTGTATCCGAGCTGAGATTTCGTCAGTCATCAGGCCATCAGCACTGACGAGACTCCCCAGATAAGTGAAGTGATCAACACGCTCGACTACTTCACTCCCTATCACTAGTTCAGGTGCAAATGCAACCCAGTCTTGAAGCAACATTTTGCATTTCGAGGGGGAAAACCGCATCCTGAACATGCTTGCATTGTTGCTTATGGTAGTCAGAAGACTCTGCATTTTGTCAGCGTCTTATTGATCACAGAGTGAGAGAGAGAGGTGAACTGATTATCCATGGTATAAAATTTATCTAGACATACACACGCATACACACAAACATACATACATACACACAAAAAAAGGACAGGAAAGTACATGTCACAACCATCACAATCAGATGTGTGTACAAACTAGTTTGTACAAGAAGGAAAAACAAAGAACAAACGGACAGAATAAGCAACAACAAGAAGGGAAACAGAGACAATCATAACTAACTAAACTAGTCACTATTTTATGCATCAATAAATCTGTTGTATTATTATTATTATTATTCAAAATAAAATAAGGCAAAATAGAGAAAATTGATGACAATCATAATAAGTAAAAGGAAAAAAAGCGAATATTTTTTCTGCATAGAGAGAGAGGGAAAGAGAAAACATTATTACACTGATTACTTTTGGTGTTATGTGACGATAATTATGAAAGATTTGTTGCATAATTCATTCAAAGTCTCTAACCAGCGTTTATTATCATCATCTCGTGGATCTCAATCAAGGCAGTCAACACATAACAATATGTCTCAGTCCACTACTTGTTAGTGACTTCATGGTTTTCTGACATTTTTTGGTTTGGCCGTCCCCGGGCTTTCTTCCAACCTATTCCTGCATGGCAAAACATAGCTTGTCAATTTGCCTCTCACTCTCTCTCTCTCACTGTCTCTATCTCTGCATTCTTCAACAACTGGACAACAACATCTGGAACTCAAAACAACAACTGTCAACATATATCATTTTCAATACAAATGTCAAGACAGTTCTACTGTATATGGCGAAAACCGGGAAAACTACCAAAGCCATCACCCACAAGATATAAGTATTTATTAACAGTTTTCTACACAAAATACTTCAGATCTGGCTGACAGAAACCATCAGCAATAACCTATTGTGAAAGAGAATAAACCAGATTACAGTGGAGGAAGAAATCAGGAAGAAGCGCATGGGAGTGGATAGGACAAATATTGAAGAAAGCAAGCAACTGCACCACAAGACAAGCTCTCTCTCTCATTATTCTCTCTTTATTACAACCCAGCTATTTTCCTATTGCTTAGTATTCTCAGACACCAATTCACTCGAGTCGTTCTCCCGAAATTCAGAACACGAGTTGAACGGGAAATAGATTATATTCCATTAACAAGGTTAGATGGAAGACAGTTGGTACAAAGGAAAAAGACGTTAGTAGATTTATAGTCTTCTTACATAAGAAGATCGTGGTGTAGAATGTTCCCTCAGTATCGACTAGCGCTGATTAGATACGAAAGAGACAATCAGCGTGCAACAACGCAATCATGCTTTAATCCAATCTATGTCCCACTAACACTATGACTTGGAACCCTCAAGAACAAAGGAGAAAAGGAAGGTCAAGGAACAAATTACGCCGAGAAATAGACAAAGATATAAGAAGAATGAACAAAAATTGGACAGAAATGAAAAAG